ATAGTGCCAACTCAAATTCGTGTTATCTAATAAGCCTTAAAAATTTTATCAAGTAATTAGTTATTAAAAATTATTCCTAATTAACTCTAATAATTTTGATAGAAATTTAAGAAAATACCTTCACCTCAAGAGTATGCAAGAAAATTATTATTTCACTTGTAAAAACTACATCGTCAAATTATTTAACATTAAAAAATTTCAAGTAAAGAAAAAAAATAAAATAAAAAAATAATTCGACTTTAGATATAAATCTTTTAAAAAAAAAAAACTCATTGCTTTTGTACGAGAAAAATTGATACTTTCAACTTTTTCTCAAAATATCTTTTTTTTTTTAAGTTTTAATTTCAAGAAAAATTGATTCTTTCAAAATTTTCTCAAAATGCTTTTCTTGATAATTTTTATTTTAAAATTTTATTTTTAAGAAAAATTGATACTTTCAATATTTTTCAAAAAATATATTTTTTAAGCTTTTTATTTTCAAAAGAAATTAATACTTTTAACTTTCCCCCCTAAAAATGTTTTTGAAATTTTTTTATTTTAGAAACTTTATTTTTAAAGAAAATTGATGCTTTCAATTTTTTCCTAAAAATATTTTTTTGAGAATTTTATTTTAGAAATTTCATTAAAAAGAAAAATAAAATAAAACAAAATTAAAAATAAAAATAAAAAATTTTAAGGAATACCTAATAATTCTAATTTAGAAATAATAATAATAATAATTATTATTATTAATAAATAAATAAAATAACTAGATAAATAAAAATAAAACAAAAAAATTAATAAATGAAAAAAAAAACCTTAACGCAGCTCAGCTTTGCAATTGGAATAAGCTCGGCTCGAGGCACAAAAAGAGACTGGAATGGAGCGGCTCAGGGTATGGCTCGGCTCTGCGACTCAATTGGGAATAAGTGATTTAGGTTAGATGCAGGTTGCGCTACGGGTCGGGTCAGTCTAAGCAAAAATGTGTGGATCCTTTGGGTTTATTAACGTCAAAACGACGTCGTTTTAGCAGAGTATTTAAAGATAAAAACTCAGCCTTTCAGCAGATGCACCTTTCACCTTCTCTCTCCCCTCTTCCTTTTCTCCTTCTTCTCTCTACCGCGAAGAACACACGTGGAATGCTCATCGGTTTCTAGGTTTTTCCCTCGAAAATTGGGTTTTTCATCGAAAAATTAGCCGAAAAACTTGAATTTCGTCTGAAAATTCAACGAAATTTGGAAATTTTCCAAAAATTTTCAAAAAAAAAAAGTTAAAAATTCTAAAAAAAATTTCACAAATTCCTAAAATTGTTTCTAACACACCAGAACCCTTTTCACAACTATTTGCTCTCTGTGTTTTTCTTTCCCGTATGTTCTAGCACCTATTTATAGGGATTGATCAAGATAGTTTTTTTATCCAATTCCATCTGGAATTAGGATTCATTCTTTGAATCCAATCCAAACTCTTTCAGCCCCCTGATTCACGGCAGAACCTCCTTCTAAAACAAAAAATTATATATATAATAATAATTAAAATAAATTTCAAAACAGATAAACTAAAAAAATAATAATAAAAATAGATAAATATAAAAAAAATACATGAATAGATAAATAATAAAAAAATATTAATAGATAAATAATAAAATATATAAAATAATAATAATAATAATAATAAAATGAACCATATTGTTTCATTTGACCTAAATCCAATTAATACGAATCTGAATCAAATTAAATATCTACACATATAATAATTATTCAATGAACCACCTCTTTGGAAAAAAAACGTGCGACAACAAAAGCAAGATCTTCAGCAGTTCTATGTGGGTATGGACTACCCCATTTCTTAAACCTAAAAAATTCAATAAAAATTATATAAACAATAAAAATATTTTTTGAAATAAAAACAGAAATAAACTCACCATCCAGTCCAATTTTCAGACCAAATTTGAGGGCTACCGCCATCTCTAGGTTGATATTCATCACAATAAAAACCATTGCGTGCCTCAATCTGAATCATAAGAAGAAATGAAAATCAAATGCCATAAAAAATATTTTTTAAAAATTTTATTATTAAAATATTTTTATACTAATAATTTAAATTAAAATAAACTAAAAAAACAACTTTAAGAAAATATAATGTTGATAGACATACATATACCATTGGCTTTGGAGCACCAATTTGTTGACATATGAGCCATGGGACTCCAATGTCAAGAGAATCAGCCTTTTAAGCACACCAATTTATATAAGCTTTTCCATCTTCTCCGTATTCATTCCTAACAAGGCCATATTCATTTTCAACCTTCATAAAACAAAACAAAATAAATAAATACAAAAAAATTGTTTAAAATCATTAAAAAAATGAAACATAAATTGACCATATATATATATATATATATACTTCATGTTATATATAGGAAAAGAATTAGTAAAAAAAAATCAAAATAAGTAATAATTAAAAGGAAAAATCATTACCATAAACACATCATTTTTAGTTCGGAAATAAACTCCAGGCATATTGTGCAACCACAGGTAAACCCCACAGGCTTCTTGGATAATGAATTGAACCAGTGATTAAAATCCTACGATTTCCCATATGATTCTAAGAGGGGGGGGGGGGGGGGAGATCCTACATGATTAACACTTAACATTGACTAAAAATAATCTTTTTCGTATTATTATCCAAATAAATTAAAGGAAAACTGTGGAGTTTGGAGTATAAAAGTTGACGACAAATCAGCTTAGTTGTTTGACGTTTCTTATTAGCGTTTCGAGATCAAAGAAAAGAAGTAGAAAAAGGAAGGGAATTTGGGTCTTCGGCAAGGTCATGGTGGCCTTGGCAACGGGGAATCTTTTGCTTTTGATCTAGATCTAAGACATTTTGAGAGGATTTTAAAAATTCTAAGCTTACTAAAGTCTAGAAAAGGTAAAGAGGAATTGAAAAGGAAACCTCATGGGTTTTCTAATCGTCGGTGAACGGCAACGATTGGAGATGCAAGGCGGGGCTGCCAACGGAAAGTCACTAGATTCTGGAAAAATAATGGTTGTCATTGAATCATATTTTTTTATTCTCAAATTATGATATCTTTTATAAAAAAAATAAAATTAAATAATTTTATTATTTTTTATGTCCGCATTATCAAAAAATATCTTGCAGATTTTATTCTTTTAATTTAGTACCCTTTTAAATAAGGGGCTTCTTAATTTAATCATTTAATTAGTATACATTTTCAGAAGAGAATAAAATAGTAGAAATTAGAGAAGAGAATATGTCATTTTGAACCAACAAAAGCAACACTGTATTTTTAAGGAACCAATGGAACTCAATTAAAATAAAATCATAAAAGAAATTAAATATTTTCAATAAATTAAACAAATATATGTACCAGATAGTGGCTTTTAACTTGTCTGATATTATATTTTAAAAGTTATAACTTCAAATTATTAATTAGGAATCTAGAAGGTATTGACCAAAAGCAAAATAAGCTAGGAATCTAGAAGGCAAATTAAGGATAATATAAATTGCATTTTCTATTTTATTTTATGGAAGCCTTAATGCACTAATTGCATGTTGTGATATTGTGAGAATTCATTATATATGTAAAAATTAAAATTTATATTTGTGAGATATTTTTTATAAAATAAAATTATAAAATTTTTAATAAAAATAAATAATATTTTACAAGTTAAATTTAAATCTTCACAGAAACACAAAAAATTATTATAATATTATTTAAAAATATATATATGTTATGAAGTTTATGAAAAAAAATTGTACCTCCCATTTCTTCACTAAACACACAAAGGGGAATGAAAAAATTCTTTTAGGAGACAATCTAAGAATGTATAGATCGTGATGCTCAAAATTAGATTTTAATTGAATTAATTTATAAATTAGTTTAATTTGATTAATTGATTAATTATTGAATTAATTTTAGTTAATAAAATTAATTTAAATCACTTATCAAAAATTATTTTTTAAAAATTTTAATTTTTGATTAATTTAATTTAAAAATTAAATTAATTAAATTAATCAAAATTTTAATCGAAATATAATAAAATCTACACATAAAATTAAAAATATATAAAATTATTCATTTTATTTTAAGTTATTAAAGTTTTTAATTTAATAATTTAAGATTTAAATATTTTTGTTAGATAATTTTATTTAGTTTATTTTAAATATAAAAAATTAAAATTTAATTTAATTTAATATTTTTATTCAAATAATTAAAAAATTAATTAATTTTTAAAATTAAAAAAATTTGATTTAATTAAAAAATAAAATAAAATAATTTAATTTAATTTAAAATTAATTGAAGTGACCGAATAAACGCCGCTAATCACACTCACCTTTTCTTTATTCTAAATTCTCATGATAGGGAAACAAAACCTTTACAATGGGCCCAGATCACATCCCTTTCTGTGCCATAAAAAACTGGGCCCTAAATTCAGTGGGCTCAACAAGGGAAAATTTTGGTGGTTTTGGCAATAATTGCAAGGCACATCGCCCGTAGATTTCCGCCACCTACCAAATTTGAACGGTGATAGTGGCCTAGGAATCTTTAGTGTTGGAAGTGCAGTGGCCCAATGTGGGCCATAGCCCAGGATATCATTCTCAATGATTAGATAAAGACATGATAAAGGGGTCCCACTCCAAAAGTGACCTTTTAAAAAATTATTTTAAGAAATTATTAGTAATTTCCGTAAATTTTTATTTTAATATTTATATTATATTCATTTTATATTAAATATATAAAATATAAAATTATTATTTTATATATTGAAACATATTTTTATTTTTATCAAATATATATATTATTATTATTAATTTTAAACATCGTTTTCATTTTTTTATAATATTTTTTTATCATTATGTTTAAAATTATTTGATTGATTTTTATAATAATAATTGTAAAATTAAAATAATTGAATTTGGTTAAAATATTCTTTTTAAATTAGCAAAGTAGCAGTCATCATTCATCACCCACAATAATTACAAAACGAAACCATGGGCCAATTCCACCACCCACTCCATCATAAATTTGTAGCTCTGAACATGGCTTTAGTGGAGGAGGAGTTTTGTAACAATAAAACAATTACCTATTTCATCTCTGATATCAAAGATTGATTTTTTCCAGCCATGTTAGGGAAGAAACCTCGTATAATGATTGGAAAATTGTCTGAGTTATTGGTTTCTGGGAATAAACCCGGGTTTTTGGATGTTGCTACAAGCCCCAGAAGTCCATTAGATGTCAAGACTCCATCACCTAGAGGTTTGAAGAGATATGATGTTGGAGGGGTTGGACTAGGAATCGTTGCCGCACTGGAGAAGTCTACTACTGATTCCTGCAGGCATTCGATTTGCAGCTCAAATTTGAATCGATCAAATGCAATTGTTGTCAATTCTGGCCAGAATTGTGATAGATTTAGAGGAAGATACGAGGATTTAGAGATGGAAAGTTTGGAGGATTATACTTATGTGACAAGCCATGGACATGGCAAGTCAACTACAAAGGTGTATTATGATGGTAGTAGTACTGGACATGACAGAAACGGGTTTAGTGCTTTTAAGAAAACCCCAGTGGCTAGATTTGTGGAAGATGTTTCGTACCCAACTTCAGATTTTCTCAGTTCTTGTCACCTATGCAGGAAAAAGCTGCATGGCAGAGACATATACATGTATAGGTAAGCAACCCTTGTACAATTTTTTTTAAGCTTAATTCCTTTCTCTTTATTAAGCTATTGCTTTCAGTCAATCAAGATTCCTTGTGCAATTTATATGGTTCTTGGTCATCCTGATAAGAGAAAGAAACAGAAGTCATGCTTTGTTGCAGAATCGTTTGTTTTGTTTGTTCAAATTTTAATTTTATTAGTATCTGGTGATGATTGTTGTGAGAGAGAGACTGATGATGATTCCTTTGTATCTTCAGAGGGGAAAAAGCCTTTTGCAGTTCAGAGTGCAGATCAACGCAAATAATGATGGATGAGAGGAAAGAACAATGCAGATCAGAAGCTTCGAGATCTGCAAAAGTTTCATCGTCCCCTCGTGATAATACGGGGGAAATCTTCTCAACTAGGATTCTTGCAATTTAGTCTGAAGCAAGCAGCTTATGATTTTGGTAGCGAAGACTGTCCCCTTCATATACAATTAAATCTCTAGGAAAATACCATACGGTTATGAGGACTAATAATAACTTTAATTTCCCAATGTCAATTCAGAAACGAAAAAAACAGAGGAAATTTTGGTCTAGTTGGTAGAGTTGGGGAATATGCTGTAAGGAGAAATATGAAGTTTGATAAGAAATGAACATCAACTTGTAGTTTCCATTTGATTTTTGAGGCCTTTCTATTTGTTCATTAGAAAGTTAGAAATATGAAACTATCTCGTTTTATAGATCCCAAAAAACCTATTCATCAGTTAGTAAACGAATGGATTTGGTATGGCTAATTCTGGTAAGCAGTTGTTTGAGCAACTCACCTGTTTCTTAAATGAAACCATTTCCTGTTTGTTTACAATATACTTGTAAATGAATAACAATGGTCTTTCTTCCAACTAAAATGGTTAAGAGAACACGTTAAAAGCCTTGTAAGTTTAAGCTTCTGTTTGAAGTTCAAACCATGAAACAACCAGACAAGTTGAAGGTACAAAACCCAGAGATAGAGCAATCTAGCCAGGGAAATGAAAAGAAGAGCAAAAAGCAAAGAAATTTGAAAATGAAAAAAGTAGCATTATGCTACAGTTCTCCAAATACTTATTCCTCCCTGTGATGCTATGATAGGAGATGGATCCCATCACTTACTGGTAGTACATAAGCTGCTGGGTTGTCGCAACATTTTGGTATCCACCATCATAGATTGCCTGACTAGCTCCAGCGGCACCCATTCCCATGGCCGCCTGCTTAAGGGCATGCTGACCCTGTGGATGCATCATACTCGTTACCTGTGCACCAGCATATTTACTCAACTCCATATGTCGTTCGTAGGCAGCAAGGTCTGCGGCTGAAAGACCAGGCATATGTGCAGAAGCTGGTGGAGGCAGAGGGGTTGAGCTTGTTCCTGGTGCAGTAGGTTTGGTACCCCATGAGCACTGCAGCATTTAAACGTTTGAAGGTCATGCCACCATAACATAATATTTGCACTGGCAGTAAGTTCGAAAAGCAAATCTAGAAGCAAATCCAGCAATAACACTCGTAATAATAGTTCCAGACCAGGATGAATGGCAGCTTTTGGTAAGCCAAAATATTAGATAAGTGTCATTGGTGACATCAATTTATCAACTCTAAGTATAATAACCAAATGAATCCATAACATTCAAAATCATAACTGCCTGCAAAATCTGAGATGGGTTTTGTAAAGACAAATACCTTAATTGGTTTACCATATAGAATTCGAGCATTTCCCATCTGTATAGCTAGAGCTGCTTCAGCATGTGAACTGTATCTCACGAAACCAAAACCTTTATCTCGTTGCACACGAACATCTTCAATTGATCCCGCTCCAAGGGCATGGAAATGCCTATGGAGATCAACTGATGTAACCTGCAAAATTTTTTTAGCTATGAGAAACACCACCAAAAAAAAAAAAAAAAACAACTACTCTCCATCAATGAGACAGAGAAAAAGCTGATGTGCAAGGGAAATTTCATATTGCAACTAAAAAATTTATTGAAAGTTCTCACTTAACCCTAAGTATGGCGTACTTCACTAATATTTTGAGCCATTTCACACGTCAGACTGGCAGCAGCTTTGGTTTGAACGCTCAATTGACTGGTATGTGATGTTTCTAAGGTTTTCCATGGAAGTTAATATTGATATTGTTATTGGAATACAAAACCAGTACATTGGAAAATTTTGTTTTCATTAACTATGAGTTAGGCTCGGGAAACTTGGCCATAGTCCATGAATCTTAATTGAGTTGTGCCACTAACCACCAAAGAGCTTGGATTAAGAATAGAACAAACAAACTTGAGATTAGGGAAAACTAAAACTTGCCTCTGGAGCAAGATTGCCCACATAAACAGTGGTATACTGAGGATTGTTTTCTGGAGCATCATCAGTAGTCTTCTCTTGACCTTCTTCTGCAAGAAGCATAATACTATAAGAGCTCTACCAGAATGGAAAGGAGTATGTAAATGCCCTAGCGCACGTCGTCGTAAAACATCTAGAATTAAAAGAGACTCAAAAACAAGAAAATTTAACAATGGCAGCAGAAGCATGCTATAGTTTATAACCTACTCTTGAAAGTTAAAGGTAATATATCAAACATCCATATTGGCAGTGATGGCTCCAAGTTGGATGTTTCAAATTGTAGATGTAATGCATTCAAAATTTCAGAAAGAGATAATGCATTTTTATTCCAAAAGAAAAAAAAAAAAAAAAAGAAAGCTAAGGGAGACTTAAAATAACTGACACTAGAAATCAACTACAAGAATTATTTCAACGCTCAAGGATGGTCTAACCAGATGTTCCATTTGTCAGCTCTACAATGCTTTTGGCATCTGGACCCAGTTTATCATCATTGGACAAGGCACCTTTTGCAGCCCAGTTACATCGGATCTGTCTACTTCCAAGCCACTTCCCTGTAATAAGCCAAAACAAAATGATGGAAATTTGAATAAATATTTATCACAGTAAAGACACCTATGTCTATAAAGCAAAGTTTCACGTACCATTCAAGTCATTTATTGCACTTTGGGCATCCTGAAAAGGAAAGGAAAAAAAAAAATAGAATGATCCTGACATGATGAAAACATAAATGGCGAGAGAGAGGGCGAGAGAGAGAGAGAGAGAGAGAAGAAACAGAAAAATAACTAAAGTACCAGCTGGTTCCTGAAAGAAACAAAACCAAAACCTCTTGAACGCCCAGTTTTTTGATCCCACATAACCCTAGCATCCCTGCAACCACAAAAAACTAAAAAGGGTCATATTTGTCCTTCAGTCTACTAGTTCAGGGTTGATTACCCCAAAGTCCCTTTAAACCCACATTTCCAGCAGCTCAAGATTGATAGGAGGTAATCGTAGGGTAATACAGGGAGAATTAGTACTCACGAACAACTGGAGTACACAGAAAAACATGCAAATAATGTAGCATCTGTAACTTCAGGGCTGAGATCACCGACAAAAATGTTGTGATGACCTGAATATCAAAGTACAAAAAGCATAAATTGTTGAGGCAATACACAGGTATAAAACAACTGAGTAAATTCATTGGTGCACATTTATAAACCTGATGTATCCTCCCTCTGACTACTAGCATATGCCCAATTAACTTTAATAGGTTGCCCAAATCTGCAAAAAAGACCATGCATTAAAAATATACGACAAGGGAAAAGGCCAACACCACAAGGGTCCATTTTGTTACTTACAGATGCCTTCCATTAAGACTCACAATAGCAAGGGCAGCTGATCTGCGATCAAAATAGTCCACAAAACCATAGGATGACTGCATTAAAAGCAAATATGAGCCCATCCCACTTAGCAGCAATATAAGCACTAACCAAGAACCTCAAAAATCCAATAACAAGCCAATGAACAAGAATATCAAATGAAAACTGGCAAAACCATTTGCATCAAAAGATGACCTTATCTTTTTTAATAAGTTTGCATCCTTCAATAGGACCAGTACTCAAGAAAACTTCTTGCAGAAGGGGTTCCGTAACCTGGGGGTGAATATTTCCCACATACCTGCAATTTACGATAAGGTAAATGACAAAAGCAACAATGCAAACAGAATAACATAAACAGAAAAATCTACAATCCTAAAGGGACGTTTGATTCATGGAATCTTGGATTCCAAGGGAAAGTGTGATACCCATGGGAATGTTAGATTTTCAAGGCATCCCGTTTTCAAATTCCTGTGTTTGGTAGGGGGGAATGTCCATTTATATTGACCATAATCTCCTTGACAACCTTGTAAAAAACCTTTCATTTTGTTTTAATAAAAAGAACCAAACTACAAACGATGCGTTTATCATCCAATGAAATAGAAAGATTTTATTTATTTTTAAAATTAAACATACTCAATTACGGCGTTTAATTACACATTATGTCGTATTGAGTATAAAAAAATATACAACCCCTCAATTACGACATTTAATTACACATTATGCCATAATTGAACCTATAAAAATATAAAACCCCTCAATTGGCGTTTTATTTAAATAAACGCCGTAATTGATATGATTTAGGAATTTCAAGTAACTTTTATCCCTATTTTCCTTATACTAATGAAGTTTAATTGTTTACACCTTTACATGAAAATGAAGCAGCTAGTAACTATATGGTAAAGTATTTTTTTCTATGAAATTCAAGCAAGATCTGCTCCCCAATAGCTTTCCATCGAAAGTTCAGAAGTAACTAACGGTCTTCTTTGCAAGATCCAATCCCACTAACCTACCTGTAAAATCAGCCTAGCCTGCCTTGCTTTTTCGCTCCTTCCCAAAACCCTAAAAGCTACACCTGTACTTGAGTCTCTCTTTCCCTCTCCTTATTGCAGCCATTAGTGAATATTTGAGAGAAGTCTGGGCAATTTCCTATTACGGGGTTTTAACGATCTTTGTTAAAACGCCGTAATAGCTTCATTTCAAATCTCAAATATACTCCACTATGGCATATATTTAAGAGAGAAGCCGTAATTGCCAGTTATAGAATATATGGGAAAAAAAAGAACAAATTACGGTGTATTGTTAAAATAAATGCCGTAATCGACTTAAATAAAATTTAATTTCAGTTCAAAACTTACTTTTCAAAAGGGTAACACAGATAGAGGAAATTTTTTATTCACATCAAATTTGAAAGTCAAGCAACTTTCCGCCCGGAATCCTAAAATACCAAAGGAAGAGATGGGTTTCTTCCAAGACTTTGAGTATTGATGAGAATCTAACATTTTCCCCAAGAATCGGATAATCTTGAACTAAACGTGAAAATCAAATACCCACAATCATGATTCCGAGGGAAAATTTTGGATTCTCCCAAACCAAACGCCCCTTAATTAGTACTTAAATTAAGAGAAAGGCACATAATTCTTTACTGCATATACAATACAAAAGCTTCACCACATGGTACTATAAACATAACTCAAATAAAAAAACCCAAAGGTGAAAAAAGAAAAAAGGACTAGATATTTATGCAACACTCACACACTGCGGCAGGTAGCTGAATCAAAGCCAGGAGGAAGATTACCACTCAAGATAGGCTCTATCTGCAAAATTTACAAAAAAATAAAGGGTGATAATGGAAAACAAAAAATAATTCGTAAATTGGCCATGGGCACTCCTCACCTAGACAAGTAAGAGAAACATTAGAAACAAACTAGATAGAGGAATACAGAGACGAAAAAAGAACCTGAGGGACAGTCAAGAGACTGGGATGGTGGTAGAGAGCCTGTTGCATCATAGCCTGTTGTTGCTGCTTTAGCCTTTGCTGCTGCATCTTCTTTCAATTAAATGAAAATTTTGAGGATTTTAAAAAAGATTCCGGGGTTAGGGTTCCTGGAGAGATTGAATAAATTGAAGAAGATGCTGATAACAAAAGAGGGGAAAATAAACAAAATTAAAAGAAAAAAGAACAATGAAAGAAATGAAAACAAAAATAAAGAAAAAAAAAAGAAAAAAAGAAACCCCTCGAAAGGGAGGGCGAGACTGTGTGTTGAAAGTTGAGAGGAAAAGATGAAAGAGATGAGACTGAAATAAAGAAACGAAGCTCCCTTGATTTTTATAATTTTTACTTTTTGTTTTTCTTTTCGTTGGAAATGGAAGGAAATATCTGGACAGAGATATGATCAGGTAGTATCGGGAGTACGAAAGACAGATTTGGTTTTTTTCCAGTGGCCAATTATGTAATGCGGATTGCTTGATTGATCAGTTGACTTTGACCAAATTTTTTTCAGTTGGGTGTGGGGACCACCTGAATCTGCTTAATCAAATGGCCAAGGAAGCTAATTAGGATTTCAAAGCTTGGCCACCAATGTAATTTCCTCTTTAGTCTCCAGTAATTGACCTTTTCTATTTAAATAATAAAATAATATAACCGTTTTAGCTTATTCCAAAAATAAACAAAAGTATTAAAATTTAAAATTTAAAATTATTAAATATTAATTCTTGAAAATAATTATCCAAACTAAGTAAATTTAACATCTGATTTCAAAGTAATAGGAATTTACTTTCTCATGCAAAGTTGATCGTTATTCGATTCCGTCCAAGCTCCTCAAGGAAAGAACTTATTTTAGACTTTTGGGCCACTTTGTCATCATGCCATTGCCCCATTGCCATGCCGTAAATCAAAAGTAGGGTATGAAGCAAACAGCCTTTCCTTCGGCATACCTGAAGAAGAGAATTGGGTTCTGTTTGAAACTCATTCCACCTCAAAATTAGATATAGCGATTTGAACGTATTTATGTTACGTAAAATATTAAAATTTATATATTTATATTATATTTTAAATAAAAATTATATATCATAATTTATATTAATATAAAAATAAAAAATAAAATTTTTTAATATTATTAAAATTTTAAATTATATTATTTTAAATTGTCTGACTCAACAAAATCTGTTTTGAGCCTGCTGGTCATGTATATGGTTTTGTGATTTTTCTATGCTCAACTTTTGATTATAAGGGGTCAATGCAAAGCTGCCTTCAATCATTTGTTAGCCCAACATTTCTTTGATCTTTTTGGATAATTAAAACAATCATGAATTAATTTTAAAAATTAAAATTAAAAATTCAACCTTTTTTCAATCTTAATTCTAATCTGCTTATTGGGAACTCTTTTGGATTTTTAGTCCTAGGATACTTTATAAGTGATTTGGGCACAAAATTAACAGGAAAAGTGAATAATTGGACTCATTAGTGAAAGTCAATCCAGCTAAGTCTCAAGTATTCACTCGTAGCTTTTCTGTTTCGCCGGGGTCCCCCAATTCCTCCGAAAAAGGGTAATAAAAAAATTTTTCTTCGGTGGATACCTCGTTTCTCTTGTTTCTCCCTTTTCGGAAATATATTTTTTTCTATGTTTGTTTTTTTTTTCCCCTTTCTCGCATTTCGCTTAAATCTTGAATTTCTTTCAGGTTCTTAGTCAGCACGTGTGACGTTTTTTACCTAAAAAATCAAGAAAGATAATATAAAATAATTATAAAAATTCGAGGAATAGAATTTTTAATTCCAAGATAAGGTACCTATTAGGAAGTCCATAAATCCTTTTCGGGCCTAGCAGCCAACTAGTTTTTGTTAAGTTGAATTTCTTTAAATACCCAACTTTGGAAAAGTTGGGGAGGCTGCCTGCCTTCAAAAATTCTTAGCCCAATATTTGTCATTGGAGGTATGGGGTGATGCTTTTTACCCAGTTCCAAGGCCCATTTCCAGTTTCCACCCCAAATACTATAATGACAGCTCCAAGCAAAACCATCAAGTGCCAGAGTTATACGGCAAACCGGTCAAAAATATTTCCCAAAAAAATTAGTTCTTTCAACAGTCAAAGCATGTGAGTCTTTTAATCATCATTCTTTTGATGAGGGTGCGTATAATTCTCAAACTATGAGATTCTAATTGTTCGTAACTTGTCATAATGAATTTACTTAGAATATATATCTTTTATTTATATTATTTTTATATTATATTATTTTATCGTATTTGAAATTATCGTATTTAATGACAAAAAAAATTATTTTTATGTTTTAAAAGCAACCGGCCAACTACAGCACGAAACCAACTAAATTATAACAAGTAAAAAGTGGTTAGATTTCAATTCACACATAATGCAACGAAAAGATGCCTTGCCCTTGTGAAAAAACAAAGGAAAGTTCCAACTCCAAACCCCCAAATAATGGACCTCTCAATGCCAATGATCATTTTGCAACAGATAAAAACGCTTTGTGACCTGAAATTTGTTCATATTTTTTATCTTCTTAAATCTTCTACTTCAAAATTTTTTAGTGTCACATGACAGGTTTGAAATTTTTCAAATTTCAAACCTCAAAAAATTTTAAATCATAAATCCTAAACTCTAAAATCTTGTTCGAATAATGATTGATAATCTTTGACTTTAAATAAAACTTATTTTCATCATTTTCATTTTATAATGAAATTGTAATAATAATTATTCATAATTAAGGAGTCAGAGGTGTTTATAATTCGATTCAATCAAATTAATTAATCGAATCAACTTAATTAATCAGTTAGTCACCTAATTAAATTTTGTTGATTATCGAAAATAATTTTAAAAAAATTTAAAATTTTAATTAATTTATTTTAAAAATTGAATTAATTGAATTAACTGAAATATAATAAAAATTATATATATTAACTTCAAATATATGAAATTACTCATTTCATTTTAAGTTATTAAAGGTTTTAAGTTAATATTTTGGTATTTGAATAATTTTGTTAAATGATTTTATTTAATTTGTTTTAAATATAAAAAATTTAAAATTTAAAATATAATTTAACTTAATATATTTTATTATTTGATTAACCAATCAAATTAATTCTATTCAGTTAATTTTTAAAATAAAAAATTTGGTTCAATTAATAAAAATAAAATAAAATAATAATTGATTAATTCAATTTTAAAAAATTTGATTCAAAACTAACCTAATCAACACCGCTATAAATAATAATCAGATAAAAGAAAATGGCTCCCCTGATCTTATGGAAGAATTCGTCAAATAAAGATTGAAAATCATGATTGAATAATCTATAGGACCACCCACCTAATTTTCTGACCTGCGCTTTTTTTTTAATTTTTTTTTTGGTAAAATACCTGGCTGCTACAATGCAAGTAAACGTGGGTACCTACCAGAAAGACACAAACTCGACTCTTTTTATATGTGAATGAAAAAGCAAGCAAACAAGCAAAGCAAACGCGTGATAATTAATAAATTACAAAAATATAAGTGTGAAATATTGAATTAATCACAAATCAAAAAGCAGAGCCAAAGAGAAATATATTTTGGTTGAACGAGTCAAATAATTATAATAAATCTACCCTACCATTTCTTCAACATGGCTTGTGATGCCAAAACAATGTATAAAATGGTATATTTATCCACCATCACCATGTCTCTTTCTCTCCTGTCTTGATGATATTATTAACTTTTATAAATTATATATTATAAATATTTTGTTTTATATTGATTAAAGTGGCTAGTTGTGAACAACGTGAAGAATTTGGAGTGTACTTTTGAATATTTATGTTTATAGTCAAAATTTAGGGTCACGTTAATGGACTGATAGTTTGATAGTATTAAAATCGATTTTAGAAATAAAAATTTCAATATAATTTAATATAAAAACAGGGTTCAGAAGGGACGTATGTGAACAAGAAACCTAAAACTTTATTTTTTTTCTGCGTGATTTCTGTAGACGGCTTCCATTGATTGCCCTTTTGTTTTTTGTTTTCTTTTTTTAAAATATTATTTGGTGTCATTTGCGTGTTCAAAGTCTCTTTAATGCGCGTGTTTGTTGAGATTTTTTTTAATGGAAGATGCTTTATTTTAAGAAAAAAAAAAAAAGGAAAATTGCACATCACAGGTATAGCATGGCCATGGGTTTGACATGGTAAAAGCTTCTTCAAAGTTCATAATGTCAAGAATCCATTCATGAACTTGAAATGGATCCATTTCCCTTTCATTCACCCTTGGCTTGCTCCTCCTGGCTCAATAGAAAAGATAATAAGGAACAGTTTCTCCAACCCAGGTGCAGACAGGTTTCTTATCAGATTTTATCAGCCCTTTAACTGAATTATATTTGCTTAGCTTGTTGAATTGGAAAGTTGCATTAACCATTCTGTCTTGTTCCAGGAAAATGGTTTTTCTTAAAACAGATTCTTTGGTCTGAGTTATGACATGAAATAATAAGCTGCAGCCCTTGTTTATGCAGGGAATAACGTATAAAGTAATCATGAAGTGATTTCTACCAGACAATTAACATCAAATAAGAATTTTTTTTAATAAAAATAATTACAAGAAACTAATAGTGAGATTTGATTGAGAGTTAGGATCTGAGAGGGCTCGTTGGAGCTGATAACTAGAAGCAAAAATAAACAGCTTAGGAAACAGCAGGCTTAAACCTGCTGAAAAAAAAGGGGATAACAGGCTAAAAAGAAGCCTTCAAAAAGAATTGAACTTGGCTCCCAGACTACTGCAGCGATTGAGCAGCCAAAGCCAGCCATGACTTGCTATCGCTTCGCTTGGAAGGAGATGCTGCCGAGCCACTTATCTGGTATGGTGCTCTCGTGGTTATCCTGTAAAATGATCATAAGGATATCAACATCAATAAGTTAACTCCGTTGTATAACTATCAATCTTGCCAAAAGTTTTAGACACAGGAACCTTAGCTCGTCATAAAATGCATCCACTTTATTTGATTTATAAGTTATTATTATTCAATTCAACAATTTAAAGTGGCAATCCCAACAGGGAAGAGTCAAATCCTAAGACCACCAAGATTTAAGTAACCAACCACCCCCACCCCTTTTTTTTCTCAATTTCCTGATGAAATAAAATGATTTTGAAAAAAAAAAAAAAAAAAAAAAAAGCAGGACTCTCTCAGCCCTCCATACATGAATCAGAAGGAATCAGGGACACAAAAAAATTTGACTCCAATCACCTATGTCAAAACAAATTACAATAGATTCTTAAAATTCAATTTCCTTTATTAATATCTATATGCCTACCTATCCTTTCTCTTCTCCAGGAACCGATGGAGTGAAGCCCTCCTAGCAAGTGGTAGATCTGCAATAGACAACAACTATAAGAACCCCTATATAAAACATAAGAAGACGAAGCATAATTCCATGTTATAACTCCTTGATTCAAAAAACCGAAGTGGACAATGAGGATTACCGCCAGGAATTGGCCGCTGAGCAGGTTGAATGCATTCCTGAGTAACATTGTTTCTGAAATTAGGAACCACATTTAAGGTAGGACGAACTCCAACACCAGATTCAATTGGACTGCCGGCTCTGCTGGAAGTAAAGGGGGCGTTTGTCTTGGCAGGATTGGGGTTGAAGTTGTTGCTTTGGGAGCTGCCATTGCTAGCTAAAAGCATGATTTCCTTAGCTTTGTCAGCCGGAAAATCATTGAACACAATCACTTGTCCACCATAAAAGATAGTCATCTGTGCAGTTTGAGGCTCCACTGCAGCAGATTTGTTCAAGCTGGTAACACTAGAATCATCCCTTTTCAGACCATCGTCCTTAGAAGCCGGTGCAGAAAAACCAGCTTGTTGGGGGAACAAACCCATGGATCTCAAGTTCCTAGGAGCTCCAACGTTCCGGCCACAAACATCACCTGACATCGGATTGACAGGAAACAAATTCATGGTAGGACGTAGCATCTCCGGTTTCCCTGCAACATATCCATAAATATAACGATTCATTAGACTCAAACTATGTTTTTCAAAAACTTCCTTTAGTACTTTAAACAATTATGCTTCAACAACTGAACTACTAGCTATTTATAATGAAAAATTCAATGATCCTCTCAAGTTCGGATGGATCTAAAAGCGTGTATTTTGCCAGCAGAAATGTAAATTGACGGGATAATATCTCAACAGAAATTTGATCTTAAAAAACATGAAAACATGATTCAAGTCCCCATCATCCCTCAAAAATTGGAACTTTTCGATCATGCACATGGCCTAATTCTTCTTTGCATTTTTTTTCTTTCTCAAAACAAGTTTTCAAAATTGAGTATTTCCAGGGGGAGACCGAGAGAAAAAAGGACATGTTTTCTGACTGTTTAAACCATTATAAATATGAATATGTCAATAGACAAATCTGATTTTGTGGATCTGAAGATTAGACAATGAAAACAATTAAAATTACAAACACAAAGACCATAACTTGAAGCCAATTTGATTAAACCGCTTCAAATTTGAACGTTAAAATGGGTAATTAAAACGGTTATTCAAGTTGAAAAAAGAGTTACAAAGCTTAATTGAGCGAAATTCTCCTCCGTTTCCTCATCAGCCCAAAACTCAAAAATACAAAAGAAAAACAAAGAATTAAAGAACTTACCATTACCTTCTACGTTGCATGTCATTCCCAACGTTAGATCTCCAAAGCTACCTTTCTTTTTCAAGTACTGACTCAACAAGTTACAAGTTTGACTAAAGCTAGGCTTCTCAGGCGACCTCACCGGTTTCTGACCCATAAATTCCGGTGAACACGACATACTTCAGGTTTTCAGAGAATGATTCGAAACCGAAATACCAAGATCTTTTGAACTTACAGCTGCATTCAAGGATCTGTTCGAAATTGCGATGATTAGCTGAGGAAGAGAAGGAGAAAATGGGTTTTATCTTTGAAAATGTGGGACGGAGAGGTGGGTTAAAAGCACGAGGAATAAATGGGGCTTTTTTTAAGCTTGTTTTTTGCAGCATCAAGAGGGTGCTTCAATATTTTTATTGTCTGGTTTGTTGGGGATTTCAAACACGTGTTTCTTTTCTTTTTCTTTTTTCTTTTCTTGGTTTGGTTTGTTCGTCAACGGCGATGTTTTTCGGTTTATGTTCCCTTTGAAAACATGTTGTTCGACATTTTAAGATTACCTTAATACTTGTCGTGAATTTACTTTCCTGTCCCTGACTGATATAGCGTATATGTTTACGGCCCTCGTAAAAAGTTGGTTTATTATTTAATCTTTTTATCACGTGTGTATTTATTAATAGATTGCGATTTTTTTATATACAAATCGTTAGATAAAAAAATATTTTTAGATTTTCAATTAACTTGGATTTTATAAATAAAAATACGGTTTTAATTTTATCCAATTATTTTGTTTGTCTTTGATTGAACACCTAAAATTATAATTGCTTATTTAAAAATAATAAATAATTATTAATTAACTGTGCATAAAATTTATATATTAAAATTATTATTTTTTCATATATAAAATTTTCTTTCATTTAAATAACTAAAAATCTACTTATTTCGCAAAATGTTGAGATGATTTTTTGGAGTTTATACTGATTTTCTAATTAACTTTAATCTATACCAACGCAAAGGGTAAGCTTACTATATTAAATAAGAAATAACAATTTTAAAGTGAAAATTTATTATTAAGTTTTCTTATACCTTGACCGTCACTTATTGTCGTATTAACAACTTTGATTGTCATATCAATAAACTTGACACTTAACAAATTAATTAGATATGTTGTCATTTATAATGTATAAAAATTAAAATATAATCAAATAAATACTTATTTTTTCAATTATGCTCTCTTTGTTTTTTTTTTAATTAAATTTATTTTCTCATATTCCTTTTCTCTTCATCTTCTTTTTATATATTTTTTCACTTGAATGATAAAATATGAATCGAAATATCACTTTCGATATCTTTTAATTTTTATAATAAATCACGTCATGTTAAAATACGGATCAAAATATCACTTTTAATATCTTTTTTTTTTATGATAAATCATATCTGTAATTCGACTTAATTTGTTTTAAAACTCACCAACCACTTTGACTAAAAATTATATCAACAATTCATTTATCAAATTTACTAGTTAATATAGTTATTTCACCCTTCAAAATGAGAAAAAAAATAGAGTTTAAGTTTATTTTTATTGTCTTCTAAAAGTTCGACTTCAAAAAATTAGAAGTTATTTACCTTAGCCCATATATTTGACTTAATTGCAACTTTCCTAAAGCAAATACTTTTGTGCAAAACTTAAAACTCATCATTTCTATCAAAGTTCTAAACGCAATCTGCCAAACAAGTTAATTTGACGGGAAAAAAGTCCACACAAAGGATATTTCTGTAAATCAAGTCAACTGATTAAACACCTTAATTAAAGTTTAAGTAAGTAAACAATAATTAATCCCATAGCACTAACCAAAACGGCGTTAAAGATAACGGCATTGGTGTGACTTTTTTTAATTTATATAAAATTGTTTTCTTTTAAGTGCAGTAGGTGAGCGACACGACCAAAGTGGGCGGCATAACACATAAAACACCGCCTTTCGTCTCTCCTTTCATAACTTCCATTTCAAAAAAAAGGGCAAACGGCAGCTACACGTTCCTTTTCCCAATAACATTTCGACATGTGTAAATCCTTAGTCGATTTGCAGTTCTGCGTGGGGGATTCTTATCTCCCTTTCCCCAATTGAAGGGTGCAACTTTGAGTGGGAAGAGGGTAGGATATCCTACCCCTATTCCCATTTTTGTATATCTTGTCATTTTTCATGTGAGTTTTTTTTTTTTTTTTCTTTTGATCATCCTCAATCCCACCATAAATAAATATCTTTAAACTTGTGATCAGGTATAAGATAATACTTCGATAAACCAATGTTCATATCCTTCCTTTTTCATTTTTTCCCTTATTTTGGATAAGCGAATAATCAATGTTTCAATTAATAAAGTTTAGTAATGTATATGTTATTCTAATTATTAATAAAATACTATAGGTCAATTTGAACAGTTGATAAAATATTAAAATTAAAATTTTAATAATTATAATTCAAATTTTAATAATTACAAATGCAAAAAAATAAATACATAACTAATCCAATTTATTAAGAGCGTATTAATATGTATATATGTAAATATATATTATCTTATAAAGTTCTTCGATATCACATACGCAGAGATACCATAGAATCCCAAGCATTTTAAGTAATAAAATTCATAAAATATATTTTTAAAAAAACCATAAAATACATAAAAAAAATTTTAAAAAAATTAATTAAATAATTAAATGCATATAACCAAAATTTCAAGCTCGAACATGCTAAATATAAGACTTTAAACATAATATTCCACGAACACCAAACCCAACACGAGCGCAACAAATCGATTGATTCACTTTTATAGACTTAAATGATAAATGGTATCACAATATCCATACGCAATATTTATTGACAGTTAAATAACAAATGTTATGTCTTGTAAGAAGAATAAAAAAAAAGATTAAAAATTTTAAATAATTTAATAATTAAAAATTATAATAACATATGTTATTCTATACTTTAAATGTTTAATTATAAAATTAATTAAATAATATATTTAAATGACTTGCATGCTGATAAAATGATAAATTTTACGGAATTTAAATGTGTAATATTTTTCATTAAATGAATAGAGATTGAAAGTTAAGGGATTATTAAAAATAAAAAAATAATTTCAAAATAGATATCTTATGAAAAAGTCAAAACTCGTGTGAGAAACGGGGAGAGGGAGAAAGATGGAGTCGGTGGTGGGTGCACACGCACTGCACACCGCCTCACAGGCTTGCCGTTACACGTGGCTGATAATCAGAGGATACTGAGAGAGAACATTTTTCTCGTGAGGCATGAGAATTGCCGCCCTTTTAATTTATTTTTAATTTTCTGCAACATGGGTGGCCCCCACGTTTGTACAATGATTTAGATTTGTGTAAAATATATTTTATTCGAAAATAAAAAATAAAAACGAAGAAATCATTAAAGAAATTTTAGGGGCGGGGAAGACCGGAAGAGAGTCACGGGCGACTCGACACATTACGTCCTGTCAAAAAGGACGGAGCATAAAACACGTGATTCGCTTGTCGGCTGTGGTGCTTACCGACGAAACACCCTTCTATTTGCAGAAAATTACGGCACCATACCATCATGAATCTTTTTTTGAAGTTTGGCTATTAAGGGACTGCCCTCATGTTAAAAACGTGAGCTTGCTCCCCCTCTGTCTCTGTCTCCGTCTGTCTATCTTTCTCTCTGCTTGCTTTTCAGCCGCATGACTTTTATCATTTCTTTTAAAGTTTTTTTTTCCCACTACCATCTAGTTTTCTTTTAAATTAACAACATATATAAATTTTTTCCAAAATAATTCTCATCTAAATTTAATTGTTTGAAACTAGGTATAAATGTGTGTAATTCATGTTAAAATAGTGTTATCTTATATTTAATAAATAAATAATTTTTATAATTTTATATTTAAATTAGATCATTCATTTAAAAGTTAATAGTTTTAAAATAAATATTGCATATGGTATTAGAATTAAAATTGTTTTATTTTTTTAAAATTAATCATGTGATAAGTTTTTTTTTTAATTTTATTCATGCATGATAAAATTTAATTAAAATGATATTATTTTATTTATAATAAATATTTAATTTATTATAATTTTATATTTAAATTAAAATTTTTTATTTATAATTAATTAATTTTAAGTGAAATGCTCCGCAATTCGAACATACAACATCTTTCAAATAAAAGCAAGACAATTTGCTCATTGTGAAAACCCATGAATGTTGTACACTTCAAAGATTCACCCATGTGAAGTTCTTTCCCAATAGAAACCCGGATTGGAACAAACCTTCTAACTAAAAAGAGGTGCAATTAGGCTTATACCCAAATTAATGATGTTTTCCCTTGCAGTGTATGAACTATATATATATATATATATATTACACCAGCTCTTGATTTTTTGTATTTTTTTTCCATGTCATGTGAGTTCTAGTGGTTGGTATATCTACTTATTACCCACTAGTTTTTGCCATCGAATTATGCAAAGCATGGCAAAATCCTTTTTAATAATCTAAAATGATCTGCAGCTTTCCCCCTAATCAAAGTCATCAATAATTTTGATCTTTTACCTACCTAATACCCTCAATTGATTGGCAAATCACTTCTACTGATAAGGTTAGATGAATGTTATAGTCGCATGTCATCAATTTTATTGGTTTAAAATCCAATCATTAAATGCAAGATCGGATAAGGTAAAAGCATTTCATTATATTCTCAAATAAAACCTATTAAAAAAATATATCCATAATCAACTTGTTTAACTCGAATTTAATTTAATTCAAATTGATCCAATTATTAAGGTTATATCCCGAACGTAAATGATTAAGGTAATTTCACGACATTTGTATCTTAATCTGAAGATTAAACAAATTAACTATCCCAAAATTTGTTAATAAAGAAAAGAAAAGAGAAAGGGAAAAAAACAATTTGAAGTGTGTTAAACTTACAGTCACAGGATCCCCCAAAGGCCCCCCATATTTTCAATTAGATGGATATGGCACGCAAGGCTGTCACTGTGGGAGAAACTGAAAGTGGTCTTAATTTGACCCAACTACCAGCCGTTGCTCTAATGTTATTGTCTGTCCGAATCTAGTGGTCCATGAACACAAATTTAGTAACTTTTTTTTATACGATCAAGGATATTATCAGGTTTTGCCCAATTAATTGGACAAGTATTGGCACGCAATACATAGTTGTTTCTTTATTAAGGTAATGTTTGAGAAGATAATGGACGTTCTTGCTTATGAAAAAGTCAACAAAATTCAAATACGTTGTTGGAAATGGAAGGTGCGGTTGAAGATTTAGATATAAAAGTAGGTTTCAGGCTTAATCCGATACTAGTGAACAAATAAAAAATAGAAACATTAATTTTATAATATAATAAATATAAAGTATTGATTTTTTTATTTTTGTGTTACGAGGACCATAAAGTCATGATTAATTAAATATCTGAATTCATTAAAATATGAAAAATATATATTATTATTATTACTAAATTGATGGAAAATGACCACTTAGCGAAGGTTTAATTAGTATATTATAAAATTTGTGAAACAGAGTCGAATAGTATGACAAAATAAATTTGATTGCCTTAATTTGTGGGTTTACTCCTCACATGCAAAGATAATTAAATTGTTAGATTTACATCAGTCTAATGTTTGGTCTACCAAACCAACGACTGACTGCCTTAATTTGATCTCACGTAAATAAATTAGCTGATTACTACTTACCAATAGCAAATTGCAAATTGAAATTAATATATTTCTAACATTAGTTTAATAAGTTTTTTAGCCTTAGAAACAATTATTGACTAAGTTACATAAAGAATATTTTTTACGCTATATTTTATTTATTTAACTCAAGTGTCCATTTTTCCTTTAAAGAAAACACAATTGAAGTGTTTGTATAAGATGTGTAATTTGTTAATAAAATATTAAAATTTTAATTTTAATGATTCAAATTTAATTTTTGACGATTTTAAATATTACAAAAAATCCATTAAAATATCCATTAAAGCAAGTTTTATTTTTTAGAGCTTATATTCAAGTAGCATAACCATGTGTAATACTTTTCTATTCTTTTACTAGACTAATACCACATGTATAATTTTCTTAAAGAAGAAATACTTTAGATAACATGGTCATCCTCGATAATTTCTAGGCAAGAAGTGAATTTTTTTTATTTGATTATTAAATTACATTGTTTTGTATTTATATATGAATTAATTATTAAAAAATGAGACAATTTTCTGTTACCGAACGACAGATTTTCTGTACACAACTCCATGAATCAAACAGGTTACAGAAGTGGAGCCAAAAAGGGCGTGAAAGGAAATAAAAATGCCCCACTGCTCCGATCTTGTTTTTCCAAAATTAACTCACGCAGACAGAAATACAGTTTTAAGCCTTTGAATATGATCCTAGAAAGAATGGCCGGCAGACTGTGACCTGCCATCTCCTCATACGTTATAATCTATATCTGTTACATTCTGGGATGCAGATCGCTTAACTAGTCTTTCTTCTTCATCATATCTATCAAGGTTTTCACAAGGAGCAGGGAATATGGTACCTATTACGCGGCCTTGAACAAACGCACACTGGAATACATGCTTCTTCTTATATGATAACCCCACGGACATATCCCTAAACGTCACGTTTCTGACAGGAATATCTTCACTACCATGTATACGAACAGGAACACGGACTGCTTGACCATGTATCCCAGTGAAGCTTATGTCTTCAAGTGTTGGGAGGGCCTTTGGGTCGAAATCATTGTCAGGATGCTCATTGTAGTCCGTCTTGATGACAATTCCAACTCGGGCATCATTGAATGTCAAATTTCGGTAGGTTATATGTTTAACATATCCACCTCTTCCAGCAGCAGTCTTGATTCGAACTGCACGCCTAGAACTCCAGACAAGGACACTCTCCACGGTGACATTAGATACACCACCAGACATCTCACTGCCTATTGATACTCCAGCACTGTGGCATATTTCAACCAAGGCAGATTTTAGTTAGTATCTGAAGAGTGAAGATGTGCACTCACCAAATGCAAATGATGGCAAGAGGCAGATGAAAAGTAGACAAAGCATACATTACGTCCAACCGTTTAGCACCATCAGATGATAATATCTAAATGCATCTTCAAGATTGCAGTAACTAGTTACAGTTTTTTTGCTATTAAATAATGTTAGGGATTGTCTCTACAGAAAAATCATGATTCTTACCTTGTGTATAAACATGTTTTAAAATTTTAATGCTAAACAACAGATCACAATTGGTTACATAAAATATAAGTTATTGAAACAAAAGTTGATTTTTTTTTTAATTACAAAATTATTAACAACATAAAACTTCAAATATTTTAACAAGAGTCTGTATGAATCCTACTAATTTTAGGTGTATTGGTTAAAAGTTGATTGCCCAGAGCGTATGGTTATTGATTTATAGTTCGCTTAGGGAAAACAATGAATCACACGGAGAGATGATTAAGTTAGATTAAAAAATAAGGTTTCAAGCCATTTCAGACTAAGGATGACTCAAAATGCAGAGCTGTTCCCTTGGGACATCATTAGATGTGGCATGCACAGCTGAACATTCAAAAACTCCAGTGATGTAACAGAAGGGAAGGAAACATGAAAAGAAAAATCTAGAAACTTCAATGATTTGCCAGAGTGCATTTGGGTAAAAAGTAGCCAAACTTGTTATGAATGCATTCTATTTGAACCGCCTCCCCCCTTTTTGTAACCATTGACAACAATCAGGCAACAGAATGCTCATGAAGCTGGAGGAAAACTAATTTAAGATACTTCACCTGACCATAGAGCGAACAATGAGGTTTCGGATGAGAATGTTTCTTGAAGGTCGTCCATAAGCTATGCCATACTGATCCCAGCCACTCTTTATTGCAATTGCATCATCCCCAACACTTATGTAGCAATCCTCGATTACCACATCCTCACATGAATCTGTTCATGACATAAATGATTTGAAATTAGTCACATTCAGAATGAATTAATCTTTTTTTTCTCCACAGCAAATCAACAAGCTGAAATATGGTGTACATAGGTGTAGATTTAAGATGGCTAGTGTAATATGATGTTCACTCCATTTACAATGATGTACACAATGTGAATTTTCTTGTATGGTCAAAAAGGAAAGCGGAAAAGGAGACAAAAGACAAACGATTATGCCCATATATTTCATAAAATTCAGTTCAGAATACAATGTTCATACATTCTAAACCTAAATTCTCAGCCACCTGCTTCTGTGCTGTTCTAACAAACAATAAATTGTACCATCTATAGCATATAATAATGCCTTTGCAATCCAGCTTCAGTTACAGCCTTGAATTTTACAAATTATCAACTAAGCCTGCTAAGTAAGTTGGCCAAATCACAAAAAATGTTCAGACCATTACTGCGATTCAGTATCAATAACTTCTCTACGTGTGGTGCCTTCTGTGTGAGTGTGTGTGTGGAGAGAGAGAGAGAGTCACTTTCCCCCCAAAAAGTAGGAAAGAGAAAATTGTCTACTCATCATTTTCTCCTATTTTCATGTAGAACAAACATTTCTAAACAACTACTAATAGTATGAATGAAAATTGTGTCTAGAGCCTTAGCTACCATAAATTCTCATGCACAAAAGTTCAATTTTTATATTTAGTGACTAAATACCAGGATCAATTCCATCAGTATTTGGGGCTTCAGATACAGGAGCCAGGATGGTAACATTCCTGACTGTTACATTCTTGCAATCATATGGATGAAAAGTCCAAAAGGGAGAATCACGTAAGGTAATGTTAGAGATTACAATGTCACTTGACCACATTATCTGCACCAGTGGACCCCTGGTGTGATTGAGTAGCTTTTGGCGATACTTCTTCCACCATGATTGGCCCTGTCCATTTATGGTACCATTATGCCCTATTATTTATAAAGACAAAGGGTAAAATCAGACTCAGCCAGTAATGAATGATTTATGCAGAACAAAGGTAACAAAGGTCACGGCATTCATTTTATCAGAATCATGCCATACAAGAGTCTCTCCAACTTCTAAGTTTTTAGAGTCAAAAGTTGAGCTAATCAAATATGCATTACATGTGTTGCTAGCAGCCAATCAAATTGCCCTATTAACAATGATTGTTTCATCAATTTGGCGAGTGGTGTTACAATTTATATCAGAGCAAGAAATGATAGACCGAAGATCAATTCATTAACACTCCATCCTCATTAAAAGGGAAGAACAATAGAGCAAACTGGCAATATTTATTCACCCAAAACCTTGAAAAGGCTGTTTCCTTCCCCTTGTTTTTTTCCATAAGAAAAAAGAAAAAAAATAAATTAGCAACTATTTTGTGTAAGCTGTATGCATAAGATACTAGGATCAAAACCACAGACAAGGGATGCAGAAAACGGGTTTAAACATTAACCTACCATAAATAATATTTTAGTGGCATCAACACGTGCTATGACTTAGAATAGCTAAATCAGCTCATTCAACAAGATAAGACTCAAAATATAACTTCTTTTACAACAATCATGCTGAAATTACTATAAGGTTTCAATGATGATTATTGTAAAATCAATGTACAGACTCAAAATATAACTTCCATAGTGTAAGTTCCCAGTAATTCTTTTACCAAAGACCATATGGAGACAAATTTGATACAGTTCAGAATCATAAGATGCTTAAGTTCAAAGAGGTAATAGGTTACCACAGAAAAGGGTCTATCATGTGAACAACCCTTTAATTCAATCAACTAAAGAAGAAAATATTAGGAAATGACCTAAAAACTGAAATTACTGCTTCCAGGAGCAGGCTAAATAAACTGACCAGTTATGACAACATTTTTGAGGTTTTGGCCGTGAATTAAACTCCCATACCGAGGTCCATGATGCTCTCTTCCGTACCCATATGAAGGCAACGGAGGCATTAATGGCCATTGCTTCTCGTCCTGTATAATACCATAAAGGAGAAGACATCCAAAATTAACAATCAACATTGTAATTGTGATCCAACAAACCCAAAATCCAAAGTCTTAATTAAAATGGCCAAATAACTAACTTCAACGATAAGAAATTACCTAAAGCAAAAACTTAAACTAACACTATTATACTTGCACCCAGAGGAAGTTAGATATTGGTGGCAATATCGTACTCTGAAGCCTCAAGTTTCGGATAAATACCTCAAAAAACATTATGAATTCCCATAATTATATGGTCATAACATGTTCACACTATTTATTAGTTCACATTCATCACAATTCACAACCTATAACAACTAAACATGTTAAATAATTAGTGTGAAAAACCCAACCTTGTCTTGACAAAAAGAGGTTGTTTGACTTAGCTTGTTTAGTTAATAAACCAAAATTGAGATTCATTTTCACTGCCAATTTCAAACATACTTGTAAGGTCGTGAATACAACAAGAAGATCGATTTAAGAAAAAAATTTCACCATTTATATGATATTTAGTTGAAAACAAAAAGAAATTGAAAGCACCAACCTCAAGTCCAAGAATCTCAGCACCCTCAGCTAGAAACAGAGTCATATGACTCGTGAGATTAAACGGCGCCGTAAGCCACTTACCAGGCGGCACATTGAGCTGCGCAACATCGCTCTTCTCAAGCTTCGAGATCGCCAATATAGCCCTCTCAAACGCCGCTGTGTTAACCGTGACACCATCCCCGACCCCACCAAAATCAGTCAAATTAAACACGAAAGACCGTGTCTTCGGCACAGGCCGACCCGGCCCAGATTTGGCGAATATCGAGAACCTAGCCCCAACAATATTCCGTTGCCACAAAAAAACCGAAACGAAAGCCGTGATCCAGAGCACGGTAAAGAGAGTTTTATGTGAAGAAAGGAATGCCAGAAAACATCTCTTAAGTTCGACCCTTTGTTGTTGTAACTGAAACCTCCCAACAGGCAATGTCTCCGTCATATCGGGTTTTTTCTGGTTTTGGACAAATTTGGTTCAAGAAACGGTTTTTGGCAGTTGGGTTTGGAACATAGAAAAGAAGTATCCTTTTGTACAAGAAGAGTGAAAAGAGCATAAGGGTTTAGTATTTCTTTTGGGTGAGATGTTAATGATCAGGTAGTGGATTTGTTGTTTGAAAATGGAGGAGTACATTTCAAGGGAAGGTTGTATTGGAGACGGTGAGACTGAGTGCAGGTTCTAGTTTGGCCAGCCGATATTCTTAAGGCTTTTCAGTTGTGGTTGGTTTAACGGGTTAAAATTTATTTTATACGATAAAAAATTTTTAAATTTAAAACTTATCGATAATTATTTATTAAAATTATTTTGAATATATAATTTATAATTATTAATTACCTATCTTAAACTATTATATACAAAACATTTAATTCTGACTAAGGGATTAAACATATTATCTATGACGAATTTTTTTTACCGAAAAGAAAATATATTCTCAAGGCTTATGTGATTTGCGTGGCACTAGGTTGTACGGTTTTATCAAGTTGCTTGTTTTATTTCACGACACGTGTTAAAGAGCTTAAACTTTGAAGTCTCTTTCATGACAGCATGTATGGTAGGTGATCAGTTGAAGAGTTCCAATCAGTCCAGTAAATAAAGGGAATTTAAAAAAGAGTAGATAAGAGATATACTAAATACTAATCAAAGCTGATGATCATATCTGATGTCATGATAGAAAGATGAAACTGACTGAATGATAGGCTTTTTAGCTTCGACAATTACTACAACAGTTTGCACTTGAATCACGAATCTATCTCTTTTGTCGAGATTCAATACTACCAAACTCTTGGTAATAGGAAATTTTCGGTTGTTGACGTTTGTCCATATTGGGTGGTTCAGGCTTCAAAGTTCAGACCCATGTTCTAGTTGGGTCCTGATGTTATAGGCACATTATCCTTACCCAAACCACTGTATCCCGAAAATAGTTTCTGAAAGTACTATGTGCATCAATTTCTAATGTTTGTGTTGAAATAGGACCAGCATGATATCATAAATTTCTTTACTTTTTGTTGTAGCCTTCCTTGGATCGAGTCAGACATCATAAACTTGCACTTTTTGCTTTATCCTTCGTAAAAGTGTACACAATCTTGTGGGGTTTGTTGGTTATGACCCGTTTTGGCATATACATTTGTACCTATTTAATTGATGCATAGATAAATAAAAAATTTCCAGGGTTCTACCTAAAGTATGCAGGAAGTTAATTCTCATTTCTGAGGATAAACTGGATGCATTCAGCTTAATTTACTGCCTAGTCTCTGATTTCAACTTATAACATAATCCTTTAGTTTTCTCTTTTGGAGCAAGGCAATCAGCAATGGTCTACAAATAAATGTTGCTTGCAAGAGCTTTTATTATCTGATGTGCTTGGAACCGAATCTCATAGTCAACAGGTGCTTATCTCTGAGATAAATTATTTTCAGGATCTGATCTAGACTCTTTAAAATGGTTTTGCACAAGCTGAGCTAATGCATGCCAGGTGGGCAATGCTGGCTGTGGCAGAAATACGCGTACCAGAATTGCTTGAGAGGCTGGGTTTAATTGAGAACTTCACATGGTATGATGCCGGTGCTCGAGAATACTTTGCAGACCCTACAACCTTGTTTGTATTGCAAATGGCATTGACGGGTTGGGTTGAAGTCAGAAGGTGGGCTGAACTGATTAAGCCAAGGAGTTTAGACATTCAACTGAAACTTCCTAACAAGAACCCAACGCCTGATGTTGGATACCAAGGTGGGTTATGGTTTGACCCGATGTGCGGAAGAGGGTCCTCAGAACCAGTGGTGGTGTTGAGGACTAAACAGATCAAGAATGGGCGTATTGCTATGCTAGCATTTTTTGGCGTCTGCTTCCAAGCTATCTATACCGGCAAAGGCCCTATTTAGAACTTGATGGTTTATATTGCAGACCCCAGTCCCTGCAACATTTTTCGGCACTGCTCTTCTCCTGGTTAGAAATCAAATTAAATTATTCAACTGGGAAATATTTATTATAATATGAATTTTACCACATTCCATTTAGTTGAGCCTATGGCAACTAAAGTAAAGCTGCCAATGGGAGTAGGATTGATATATGACATTACATGTTTGTGTTTGCAGGCTTTTACAACACATTGACGTTCATTTGAGATTCGATAACTGGTACAGCATGGACGTGATCTAAAACCTTGGTACAGCCATCACCTGTATCGTTTCAGTAAATTGTTCTCTGTTTTATCATGTGCATACAAATTGTACATCGCAGGAACCAGAGACTTGTTTCTTTTGACTTTAATAATTAGTATAAATTTTTATTTTTCAGAAAAATACGATGGCTTTCATGGTTTTTCCTTACCGTTGCTTTAATTAAATCAGTAAAGTCACAGTTAAAATGTTAAATGGTCAGGAGATCAACACTTTTAATCCACTATTTTTTCCCATTTGATATTGGTTTATTATTCACACTCATTTATGGATTTTCAGAAAGATATGTTTGTTTGTGATATATACCAACATTTTAGATTGCATAACAATACTCAATAGTCCGAGATTGAGGCAAAGGCACGCTGACAAGGTCAAACGAAGTTGGAAGCCTCTGTTTCTCCCTTTCAATCCCATTAATTCTCTCGTCTCTCAAACCTCTATTCCAATTCTATTCTTAGAATTTAATGTAACTTTGCCAGCTGCATCTTTCAATTCCTCCTCTCAAAGCCACAATCTCTTACCAACATGGCACAGCACCCTCTTGTCAACCCCGAATTAAGCAAAAAGAAACTGAACAACCCAAACAAAGACTCAGAGAACCACACGATCTCTCCGAGCAGCGGCTTGTTTCTATCCGGAGCTTTACCATTTCCGGTCAGTAATGGCCGCTGTTCGCTTCCTCCCTTTCCTATCCCTTCTAATCACCCTTTTTCTTCCCACCCTTTGCGTCTCTCAATCTGATGCAGATACTCTCATTAAGTTCAAGAAATCTTTTACGCAAGGTGATTTGAATAGTTGGATTCCAGGGTCCTCTCCTTGCCTTAAAAGGTGGGTTGGTGTCATGTGTTCGGGTGAAACCATTATTGGCCTCCATTTAACAGGATTACGTCTTTCAGGACAAGTTGACGTTCAAGCTTTGCTTCAACTTCGTGGCTTGAGAACCATCAGCTTAGTAGGGAACTCTTTCACAGGTTCAATCCCCGAATTCAATAAACTTGGCGCTTTAAGGGCTATATACTTGTCTCGCAATCAGTTTAGCGGTGAAATACCAAATGGGTATTTTACATCGATGGGATCTTTGAGGAAAGTTTGGCTAAATGAAAACAAATTCACAGGAAATATTCCTGAGTCCTTAATGCAACTACCCCATCTCGTAGAACTCCATCTAGAGGCAAATCAATTTTCAGGAACAATACCAGAATTGAAATATCCAAATGTACTTACTTCGCTTGATCTATCGCGTAACAACCTGGAAGGAGAAATCCCAGAAAGTTTCTCCAAGTTCAATGCCTCTTCATTCGAACAAAACGTAGGACTTTGTGGGAAACCACTGGGGATAGATTGCGATGAATTACACCAATCAGGTTCAGGAATCTCAAATCCGTCGGGCCGAAACCAAGGTTCCAATTCCAAAGCCAAGGTAGTCGTTGCCATGGCAACGCTTATTGTTATACTGTTTTTTGTGATAGCCTCCATCATTTCCGCAAGGCGTAGGAGGGACGATGATTTCAGCATTCTAAGTAAGGAACCTCCAAGAGAGGAGGTGCTGCAGGTCGACGTACCTGAATCGACCCGCCGAAAGCCTGCAGAGTCAAGCCGCAGGAGTAATTCTGTCTCCAAGAGAGGGTCGTCACAACAGGCCAACAAGACCGGGATGGCCAACTTGGTCATGGTGAATGATGAGAAGGGTGAATTCGGGTTGCAAGATTTGATGAAGGCAGCCGCGGAGGTGCTTGGAAATGGCGGGTTGGGCTCTGCATATAAGGCCGTGATGGCAAATGGATTGGCCGTGGTGGTGAAGAGAATGAGAGAAATGAATAGGTTGGGAAAAGATGATTTTGATGCTGAAATGAGGCGGCTTGGGCAATTAAGGCACCCCAATATTTTGACGCCATTGGCCTACCATTTTAGAAGAGAGGAGAAGCTTATTGTTTCCGAAAACGTGCCCAAGGGCAGCTTGTTATACGTCTTGCATGGTAGGACTATCATCAACCTTGGTTAATTTTCATTTAAGATACCTTTGCAAGGCGTTTTTTTTTCCCCCTCTTTTTCCCATTAATTTTCTAACTAATAAACATGGCTCGTTCAGGTGATCGAGGAACCATTCATGCTAATCTGAATTGGCCAACCCGTTTGAAGATCATCCAGGGAATCGCACAAGGGCTCAGTTTCATTCATACAGAGTTTGCAACATACGAGATCCCTCATGGAAATCTCAAATCCAGCAATGTTCTTTTAACGGAAAATTATGATCCATTACTAAGTGACTATGCCTTTCAACCACTGACAAACGCCAGCATTGCTGCCCAATGTTTTTTTGCTTACAAATCCCCAGAATATCTTCAGAACCAGCAAGTCTCCCCCAAATCAGACGTTTATTGTTTAGGAATTCTCATCCTGGAAATCATCACAGGGAAATTTCCTTCTCAATATCTTAGCAATGGCAAGGGTGGGATAGATATCGTGCAATGGGTACAAACATCAATATCCGAGAACCAAGTGGAAGAATTGATTGATCCTGAGATAGCAAACGATTCAGGTTCACTCAATCAGATGCTTCAACTCCTCCAAATCGGAGCTGCTTGCACTGAAAGTAATCCCGATCAACGGTTACACATGAAAGAAGCCATTAGCAAGATACAAGAGGTAAATAATTAATCTTGAGGCAGGCCCCTCTTTGCTGTAGGTGTGAAAGGAAAAGGTAGCTGAGGTTACCAGACACCATCAATATCCACGCTTCAAAGATCAATCAATCCGATTAATTAGGATGTAAAAATGATTAGGATGTAATCTTAGTCATGTTTTTTTTTTTTTTTACCTGATTGGTTTTGGAAGAAAGCACAATTTGAACTCAGAGTAGTCTGTAATATTATTGATATGTTTGTATGTGAATGCAAAAGAGTTGTATTTGTCCCATTTTTAAAGATACTGTCATTTGATTTCATATTTTCCATCTGTTTTTAAGTATATCACAAATTTAAGCCTGAGGTTAGTGGAAAGCTGATAGCTTGCTTTGGGCCCCAAGTTTCATCATTCTACCCAATATTCATCGCTAAATATTAATTAGTTTAATTTCATTTGTGATGCTTTCACTTTTGTTTATCAAAGACTCTTTTTTATATTTAAATAAAATTCTTAATTAATTAGAAATTTGACATAAAATGTTTGGTTAGAATTTAAAATTTAATTTAATTGATTTATATAATTATTTTACCATATTCTATAACTTTAAAATTTAAATATCAATATTTATAACATTTGTTATTCCCAAAGCAACATTTAAAAAAAATACATTTTGCTAATGTGAGGAATGATTTGCTCTTTGCTAGTGGTAGTTAGACATTTTGTTTATATTTTTTATTTTTTATTTTTACACTTTCTATTTTTCTCTCATTTCATTTCACCATATATAATTCTCAAAGTTTAGCGTAAACTTCATAAACTAAATTTTAGTAAATATATATATAAAAAAAAGTTAAGTTTATGGATTTAAAATTATTCCTTCATAAAATAATTTTTTAATATTTTATATTAAATAATAAATTATTACATTATAATTAAATAATGATAATTGATTAGTTAGTTAAAAAACTATAATATCACCAAACAATTAAATTCATATACGAAACTTAAATTTAAGACTTCAATGTTTTAAAACTTCCTCTTTGTCAATAAACTAAGGCCTTAGTGGCAATTTCATGTTAAGTTTCAAATTAATATATTTGATAAGTTATATCTAAATATTTTAATTTTATGATTAGTGTATGCTTAAATAATTTAGTTTGAATTCCTTTCTTTTCAAAATAGTAAAAAAAGAAAAGATATTGATTGGCTATGTTGTATTTATACTTATATTTTACATATATATTTAATAAGTAATTTTTTTATAAATAATATTAATTATTATTTTAAATTAATTAAAATTAAGATATTTTCATTTAAAATATATATTAATATATTTATAGAAAATTATATAAATATATAAGATAAAAATTATCCAATGGCACTCGAACGATAAGAAACGCATGTTTTCTTTGATTTCTTTTCCTTCAGTCCGGGGAGTAGCTTATAAACCAATAGATGGGCTAAAGTAGCTATTTGAAATCTTTAGTTCTCTTGTTGTCTTTTTTTATTTCTTTTCTTTCAGTCCCAGGAGTAACTTACAAACCAATAGAGGGGCTAAAGTAGCTATATGAAATCTTTAGTTTTGTTGTAGTTTCATAGGATCACACTGGTACAGGGGCTTGAGAGCGATAATAGCCTTCTTTTGGCTTTTGAGCTGCTGACTGTAGAAGAGGTGGTGGGGGAGAAGGTCTAATTCTTTTAATACATTAGATTAAAAATTTAATTGATCCAATTTAAATTAATATAATATTAAATTTAAATTTAATTAAGTTTTATATATTTTTTAATTAAATTTAATTTAAAATAAAAGTTAAATTATTCGAATTCATTTGATTAATATATAAAAATAATATTAATTTTATTATTCGTATTTAAATTTAAATTTAAAATATTTTATTAATTAAAAATTAAAATATAAAATTTCGAATTAAATTTATTAATTATTTGAATTAATATAAAAATATTTAAATTTGATTCAATTGATAAATTTAATTATTCGAATTTGAGCTTAAGTTAATAATAACCAATCATAATTTGAATTTTATTCGAGATAAATTTAAATAATTTACGAATATTAATATATCATTATTCTCTTAAATAAATATATTTTTATTTTTATTTTTTTAAAAAAAATAAAATTATTTATATCTATTAAATATTTTTAAAAATAAGAATTGAAATACATTTAAAATTCCCGAGAATAAATATAGTATAAATATTCGTAAACAGAGATAAAAAAGACTCTACGTGCCCTGTACCTATCTTACTTCCCTGCCCTGTGGAGTCGGAACTCGAGGTGAAGATAGGCCAAAAATGTATCGAACAGCGGCGAATCGCCTCCTTCACAGTGCCTCTCTTATCAAAAATAGTGGCGGAGGCCGCCTTCTCCGATTCCCCATTCTCAGAACCGTCATTAGCTCTTCACGATTTTCCACTACCGCAGACCCTCAAACGGTCCCTAATCAAACCCTTAATCCATCTGATTCTTCCACGTCATCATCATCAACGGCTGGGGATGGTCCACGCCTCGAGAGAAAGAATCCGAGAGCTGATTACGAGGAAGAGCAAGCTCGGGTGCTGCAAGCCTCACTACGACACGTCGTCCGTGCATTGATTAATATTATACTAGAATTATTGAAAACTTTATATTCTTATTTATGATTTTTTAGGGTTAAAATTTTATTTTATTTTTAATGCAGATGAGGTTGGGATGGAGTGAAGAAGCGATGATCGCAGGTGCAAAGGAAGTTGGGGTTTCTCCTTCAATTGTTGGATCCTTCCCTCGAAAAGAAGCAGCCCTTGTTGAGGTAATTTTTTGAGTGAAAAGTTTCAATTTTTTCTCTTGAAAAAACAAAGGTTTCAAATTTTATAAGCTCTGATTTTACTCTTTTGAATTTTTCATCATTTATTTATATGTCAAAATTATTCTTTGCTTGTGATTATTAGTTCAAGTATGGAAACTTTAGGTAGGGCATTACAATTTACAAACAATCTGATGATACTAATGCTTATGATGTAGAGCTTCTTACCTCATCATTTTCTATCGTTTAGAGGTGATGGGTTTATCAAACTCAATCTTGAAGGATTTTTGGAGGCTGTTCTTTTAGTAAGGGACCGAACTGTGGTTCCTCCTTTCCCAGATCCATGATTTGGTTCTTTGCTCTTGTATTCTCTGCAGTTTTTCATGGATGACTGCTTACAAAAGCTTATGGATCGAATTGACTCCGAAGAGGAATCACAACATTTGATTCCTAGTCAACGTATCTCCAAGCTTGCAAGGATTCGCCTAGAAATGCAAGCGCCCTACATATCAAAATGGCCTCAAGCCCTCAGCATCCAAGTACCTGTCCTTGTACCTTTTTTCTTGTTAACGGACTATTTTACTTGGTCGAAGTCTTCACTCATTAAGTCAACTATTTTCTAACATTCTTTGTAGGCACATCCATTGAATGTTCCAACAAGTTTTAAGCAGAGGGCACTGCTGGTTGATGAAATCTGGCATGCAGCGGGAGATGAGGCCTTTGATGTAGACTGGTATGTGAAGCGCACTGTCCTTGGAGGGATACACTCAACAGCAGAGATTTACATGCTGACTGACAGCTCCCCAGGTTTATTTCCTTTACCTTTATGTGCTTTGAATTTTGATGTGTATACATCTTTGCTTCATCAGTGACTTTCTAGTGGAGATGCAAGCTTTTAGACAGCATTTCATTTATTTTATCATTTTCTGGCAGAGTTTCGTGATACATGGCTGTTCTTGGATGATCGGGTGAAAGATGCTTTTGATTTGAAGAAGACAATACAGGAGGTACTCTCTCCTTTCATTTCTTTTTCCTTTGCCTTTCTAAATTGGAAAAATTGGAGTCTATTTTAGAACTCTTGATGAAATAACATTGTTACAGGCAAAGTATTTGGCTGAAGCTGTTGGTGCTGGAATGGGGAGTTCTTTGCAAAGATTTGTAGGCAGAGTGCTTCAGAGATGAAAGCTAATAACCTTGTGGTTCTTGATATTTCTATGACTAGCATCAGAGTCAACATTACACTTGACGAGCTATAAAAATTAGGTGCTGTCATAAGTTATGTGTTAGTATTATGATAGTCCCTCGACGGCTCTCAATATTTCCTTAGTCTTTATCAGTGCACAAGCCATTGTTCTCCAGAGTTTAGGTTTCATATTACGTTCCTGTCACAAATGTTAAGCATATCCATCTTCTTGGTAACGTGATTAAATTATTATTTTTTTTATAGATTCGGGCACAATAATCATTTGTTAGCTGGATACTGTGCTTCACATGAGAATATTTTCGCTTAATAAAAATATTTTTGTCTTCAACCATAAGTAACTGAAGCCTGTCCTGTAATGTGCTCGAATTTTTAACTTACTAGGATGCTTTGTCCTTTGATTTCCCCAGGGCAAACCCAATATCAGATTGGACTTGATCCCTTAGCTTTACAAGTTTCTATGCGGCTAAAATATCAGGCAGTGATTATAAAAGTAGAGGGAGTTTCTATAAATATTTGCATATATCGTTTTTTTCTGTCAAATAGTTTTTTTTTTCCTTTTTTTTTTTTTTAAGGATTTTGACTCTTCCTTCTATAATTTTTATGAGTTCTTCTCTTCCAGAGGCGTAGTGCTGTGGACCAGATATGGCACCCCTGTTTAAGTAAAAAAGGTTTTTTTTCTGAAGGTTTAAATCAATCTTGAAACCTTGCCCCATACAGAAAACACAAACCAATGCATGGCATCAAATCTACGCAGGAGCTGAGCTGTGATGGACTCTGGTGAAGGAGTCACGCATGTCGTCCCCGTTTATGAGGGCTATGCACTCCCTCACTCTATCCATCGGCTTGATCTAGCAGGCAAGGAATTGAAAGACTACCTCACCAAGATCCTGACTCGAGGGCTACATCCTCATAATATCAGCAGAACGAGCAACCATTAGAGACATAAAAGAACGACTTTCATACGTAGCAATGGATATCAATAACGAACTTGCCACATCAAGGGAAAGCTCAGAGCTTGACAGGCAATATGAATTGCCAGATGGGCAAGTCATAACTATTGGAGCTAGCAGGTCTAAGTGCCCCGAAATTCTGTTTGATCCAAGCAGGGTGGAATATAACCAGGCAGTCTTCGTGGGATTTTGGTGAGGTCAATCAGAAGAAGTTACATTGACGTTAGAAGAGAGATGTTAGGAAATGTTGCGCTTAGTGAGGGTACCACTTTAATGCCGGGCCTGGCAGATAGGTTGGCCAAAGAGGTTAGCTCATTGGCACCTCCAGGCTTCTCTAAACACCTTTGAAAAGGTAACGAATTTCTTACTCAAAAATGCATTTGGGCTCGGTCAAGGCTCGGCTCCTCCGATGATTAATTAGCTGATAGAAGATTAATTTATTGCAGATGTGCATTACTAAGGAAGACTACATGGAATCTGGTTCTTCTGTTGTTAACATGAAATGATTTTGAGCAAAAGCAATACATTGCCTTTCTAATTTTTCCCTTGTATACAAATAACTTCACTTGTCTATCCTTCGATACTAAACCAGAAAGCTGTACAGTTTTATAAATTCTGCTTTTTTTTGTGCATCCTCATTCTTCACTAATTTGTATATTTTTCATTATATATTTTGTTTCGTTTTTTATTCTATGAAAAAAGAGCTTGAAGATTGGACAAGCTCTCCAAAACTGAATTTCTTCAGAATTTCAGTCTAAAGAAGATCACAACTAGGGGAAACCAAAGGAAATAACTGCACAACCGCAGCCATTAATATAATGGACAGGCCCCGTTTTATAGGGCCCAAATTGCATTGTTTCTTTTTTGACACGGCCTAACCCCCAATGTATAGGCCGGAGTTCAACCGGAGAGAAGTAGAAGTGCGCGAGTTTGTCCTAAAAGCCGCCATACCCACTCTGTGGAAAAACAAAATCTAACCCGACATTTCCACGGTCAGACGGGGAAAGATTTCATGAGCTGAAAAAAAAAATAAAAGAGCATGTAAAATATGTGGATCCTACGTTCGGGTTCGGTGAGGACGTTTGACTATCCAGTTTCCTTCATTTTTACTTAATCGACATAAAAGCAGGTCAGTTCACTCAAAAAAAAAAAAAATGGTTGGTGTCTAAAACGGTCAAGCACTCTTACAAATCTTAAACAGTCAAGCCCAGTGTCTAGCAGTAAGGAAAACTGAAGCAGCATGGCTTCTGCATCAGAGATTGCAGCAAAGTTGAATCTGGTGGCAAATCCTGAAGGTGGCTTATATACTGAAACTTTCAGAGACACCTCGATTTTCCTCTCCAAATCTCAACTTCCTCCTGAATGTAAGTACTTTATATAAATGCCTTAACTTTTTGCTTCTTTCTCCATTGATTGTGATGTTTTCACTTCTACGGCAGTAGAGATCATATCTATTAATATCAGAATAGCTTTTTTTTGGTTTACGATTCCACTTTCTTCTTAGATTCTTTACTTGTGCAATTTTCTTTCCATGGGATCTGGTCCACATCTTGTTGATCTCAATATTATTTCAAATTAATAAGATATTTTGACTTAAAGCTGGAATTAAGATAGTTAAACTTATCCCTCATGGTATACAATCTGTATTTTAGTTCTGAGGTTTCATTGCTATCATTAATGTAATCAATAGGAAGCAGAAAGATTTTTGTTATCTGGATAGTCTGTGGTGTCTGCAAGCGAAATGCTTTACATTCTGAAAAAGACCTTCCAAATTAGAGACAAGAAAAGTGAGATTTGACTTCGAAATTCCTATGTATGAAAATTAGATCCACTGCCTTTGTCTTTTGTCGGACTTGTTTGCCTAAATTTTTCAGCTTCAAAGTATTGAAATTTTAATGAAACTGGTTTCTTTCTACTTTCAAGTGTGATTGTTCTTATCCTATCAAAGCAATATTTACTAGTCAGTCATTCGTTGGTAGTTTTTCGTATCATAACATGACAGTAACTTCACTGCAGACAAAGTTGATCGTGCTGTCAGCTCATGTATATACTTCTTGCTAACATCCGGGAATGTGTCTCACCTTCATCGAATACCATGTGCTGAGACCTGGCATTTTTATTTGGGAGAACCTCTTACGGTAATGGCTGCGTTAACCTTGTTCAAGCCAAAATATTCTGAATACCAATGTGGCAATTTATTGTTCTGAATGAGTAATGAAGCATATGTTTGATACAGGTCCTAGAACTGGATGAGAAAGATGGGCAAGTAAAACTAACATGTCTTGGACCTGATCTGGGAGATAATCAGCAGGTGCAGTACACGGTACCTCCAAATGTTTGGTTTGGTGCATTTCCAACAAAGGATTTTCACATTTCCACTGACGGGGGAGTGACAAAAGCCGAATCAAGGGATGCTGAGAGCCACTATTCACTTGTTGGATGCACCTGTGCACCTGCCTTTCAGTTTGAAGACTTTGAGCTGGCAAAACGTTCCGAGCTTGTAACTCTCTTTCCGAATTACGACCGCCTCATTTCTTTACTCACCTATCCTGATTGAAACAAAGCTTGATATGTACCAATAATCTAGAAGCTGGTTTCAATACTTCAGCATCTTGAAGCTTGAGGATTTTCAATGGCAACAAGTACTCGGATTTCTAATTCCTGGATGGCTACTAGATTTTCAATTTATATTTGCTGCAGCTTTGAAAGCATTAAGCTGTGAATTAAATGTTGTTGTCCACGAATAACTATTATCAGGCAGCAAAACTAACAAGGCAAGGTGGCACAAGTACAGAAATTGAATAAACTTCTGCACTTAATGATCATGAAACATAACTAAACACGTTACAAATAAATTGAAAGTGACTGTGCCATTACAAAATGCGGCACCAAAGCAACAAACCACAGCAATTTTGAACAATTTCTACTCAAATGAAATGTAAGAGCCTAGAAAGGAAGTGAAAAGATACTAAAACAAGGGGAGCAAACACGATTTTTAGTATAAACCGAAAACTTTTAAAACCCTAAACTCACTGAAGAACCTAATTATAGGTATTGCACGTAGAGCTATCGCCCATGCTATGAAGGTACAAGGAAATTATCACTGTCTCTTAAGAGACAGAAAAAATACTTTCCCCTTCCCAACCTTTTAGCCTATAAGGTCTTCAGAATCGTAAGAACTTCTCCCCCTGCTCTAGCTTCCTTCTCCAATAACCGAGATGAAGTAAGAATGTCTCATGCCTATCCCACCCTCATTCAAATTTTGGGTCACAATCGCACTAATATTTGCGAACATGGCATGAAACTCTAACAAAATAGCAGGGTCTATTAATCAAAATCAAGGAACTCCATTCTTTTTCTCATGGAGCCCTTCAGATCTGTTGCTTCTCTTTCTGCTTTCTGAGCCTGGAAAAAGATAAACAGATAAGTTATTCTTGATGTGTAAGAAAATTGACAGTTACCCAAGTCCATCTTGCTCAAATTCTTTTAATTAATCATCTCAGAAGACTAAATTATTACAAACTTTCTTTACCAAAACCATACAGCATGGGAAACAGACATGAGAAAACCCCCTTGGAAGTGGAAATATCCACCTAGCCTTTCATAAGAAGGGTTCTGTCAAATAGATATAGCAATACCAGGTGAAAAACATGCAAAGAAATGAGAACTGTGACAAGTCATTTACCCTTTTTATCTCAGCTGCCGATACAGGAGTCATATGTGAGGGAAGCTCCTCCTTTTCCAAGTCCTGTGTAGCAAGCAGAAATTTATAAAGAAGAAATAACAGTGTAAGACAAAACAATTCCACACCTCAACAAAAGCAAAAAAAAAAAAAAAAGTTGAAACAAAGATAACATAAAACAGCATACCAGCTCTCCTATTAAGACAACATTCTCCCCACGGATTACATATAGACCTAAGGGGATGTCACAGTATAAATCACCGACAATAACTCGCTCACAAGCTCCTTCTAGAACAACATTAGCTGTGAATGTCGAAGGATATCACATCACTGATTATTATTCAGAACAAAAGAAAGAAGAAAAAGTAAAAGAAAAAAGAAAGCAGAAAAGATAAGGAATAAGATCAGGACAAACTACCAAATTGATCAAAAGATCGCAGTAATCCCAAAAGCTTTCGTCCATCTCTCAGCAAGACAAGGAGTTTCTCTGCAAAATAGGTAAAAGGCATGTTCTACAATCATTAAAGATCTAAATCACAGACAATTTACTAAGCAATTGTTGTAATATAAAAGGGCAACCACTAGCAGACAAAATGAGAATGTAGGATGATAAATAACTACAACCAAAAACATTCAAGGGAGTCTTAAAACCATAATATAATAGGATTCCAGTAGCATAGTTTATGCAAACAAACTCTCTCTGAGACAACTTGTGCAAGAGAATTATCATGCTTCAATAACACAAATGCTATTCGGAACAAATGTCAGATTGCAACACAGCGTTTTGAGATGCCACCCAAGTACCTAAGATTATAACTTTCATTCAATATTCTCCAAACAATTAAATTATGGAATTCCACAAAAGCAAAGTTGAGAGCTTGTAATTTTCACTAAAAAGCGAGTCTCTTGAAGATCATCAAAGTATTTCTCACAAAACCAATTGACAAGCCTATAAAAATTGGACAACGAATAGAAGAGGCCATTACTTGAACAAACTCTTTTCACCTAATTTGGACATGCATCACAATACCAGCTTGTCTCAATTCTTAAAGAAATCGAAATTACAAAAATACTGACAACCAAGAACATTAAAGAACACAACTTCACAAAGGGAAATAATCCAATATAGTAAAGTACACAAACAGGAATCCAGTGAATCAAACAGTGTCATTAAACAAACCAAACCTTACAACCAAGCAAAACTAAAAAATAAGAAGAAAAACCCAAAAACAAGATAATATTTAAAGATTGCAAATAAAACAACAAAGAATATTACATATAAAACAGAGAGAGAAAGAGAGAGATTACTGTCAAGATAGGTGGCAAGAGAAGTGGAGAGAAAGATATCATCAGGGCCAGCCCAAGACATGGAAATTAATCTTCTTTGACTCTTCAATTTCAAATTTCCAAACAAATGGCATTAGCTTCCCAATTAACCATCCATAGTTTAAACCACTCCTCCCCACCAAAAAAATTAAGAAAAAAAATCAAATCTTTGCCAAATCTCTCTACCAATAAGAGTAGACCCAGAAGAGATTTCTTCCAAAGCTGTAAAAAAACCCTAGCTTTATTGACAATACCAAATTGTAGGAAGCTTTTATGAGGGGGAAAAAAAAAAAAAGCAAAGAGAGAGAAGGAGAGTTAGGTTTAGCTTAAGAGCCTTTTTTTATTTAACAAGAGGCAAAATTAAAAGCCTCGCTGGATCAATCATTGAATCTTTTTTTTTTTAATCTTTAATTAATTAATAATTAATTAATTAATTAATTGCTTTAATTATTGGTTTTGGACCGTTGGATTGGTTTAATTATGATTTTTCTTTGATAATCAAGCTGTCTTTGGGATTTCATATGACTGTCAATTTAGACATCAAATTGGGGCAGATTATATTAAAAATTGAGTAATCTTTTATTTTTTTCATTAAATATTAAGTCACCTTTTCATTCTATAGTAAATCAAGTAATTTTTTTCAAAGTAGTCAGACGGCCATAAATAAATAAAAAAAAAAGTACTAAGAATTTACTAATTTTGTAAAGTGTGAGTAATTTTCTAACTTCGTTTATGAGATTTCAAAACTTCATTTTTAATGTATAAAATAATTTTTTAAATTTAATTTTTAATCTAATTGAGAGAATCACGCATTTGATTAAAAAATGGTCTTGTGACCCTTGGGCTTAGATCAAACCAAAGTTCATTTAGATTGTGGATCACAGACGATTTGGGCTTCAATCGTTTTCATTACAAGTCTGATAAACCTCATTTTTCTGTTTTGATTAGTAGTTTAAGTTAGGCTCGCCATTTGTGCATTTATAAAATTTATGTATTTATATTATATTTTATATGAAAATATAAAATATATTTTTTTAATTTTATAATTATTAAAATTTTAAATTATATTATTTTTATATTATATCATCATATCATATTTTAAATTATCATGTTTAATTTGATTCCAAACAATTACTCTTTATTGTCTCGTTTTATATGTTTATATTTGACTTTTTTTAATTCATCTTCGTTCATTTTTTTAAAATATTGTATTGAATTAAAATTTTAAAAAATATGTTTTAAAGAATTTGAAATTTAACTTTTACAATTTTTATTTTTATTTTTTTAATTTTATAATTTTATTAAAACTTGTTTAACCAAAAAATTAATAAAAGACAAATATAATGGGAGGGAGGGAATAGTATAAAATCGAGGCTAAGGTTGCCATGCTCAAACATATAATTATTCACTTTTTTTTAGTTTCTGTTGATTTGATTAGTCCCAATAAAAAAATGGTAGGATTTTTGCATACAACTCAATAATTCATAATGTATAATTCTATACTCAGGAGATGATTAAAGATGTATTTTTTTTTTTGAAATGTCTCAAAATTATGTGTTATTTTTTTTTGAATGTCTAAAATTTTTATTTTTTATACTTTAAAATTATTTTTATGGGTTTTTTTATTTTATTTTTTTGACATTAAAAATCATGAAATTTTAAATTTATAAAAAAATTTAAAATTTTAATATTAAATTGATTATAGTTAAAATTTTTTTCTTAAATTTCGTTAAAGTCAACACATATTTTGGGATTAAAAAAATAATAGATCATAAATTAATGGAAACTACAAGTCAAATTTATATACTTCTTGGTTCTCGTTAAAAAAAAAAAAGAAAACTAAAACCAAAACCAAAATTAAAAGGAACTTGCAAATGCAACATGCACTAAAGAGAAAATCAACGCAAACTTGCATTTCCAAAGAATGGCTGTCTTCTTCCTTCAAGGCTTGAAAAAAGAAAAAACATTTGCAATCTGAAAAACAATTGTGCAAAGCACTATTGGTTCATGTTGTTTCTCATCGATTCTTGTAATCATCAATGGTACTGTGGCATCATGCATGTCTTATTTTCTCCCAACTGATGAAAAAAATTTGAGCATCCAGCAAGCACACCATTTACTCATGTGTATCATTGCATTGCTGATATCTGCAAAAACATCAGATAAAAGTTTAGATTAATTCTAGACTGAATTAATGTAAGTGTACATTAATACATATTGAAGAAAAAGTTTAGTTAAAACTTCTTACCATGAATTAATCTTCATAGTCGGTCCAAGCAACAAATGGACTTATATTTCCAAAACAATATCTGCATTAATGAAGAAACAAATCAAGTTAAAATTATAGGACCCTTTCCATATATTGAAATGTTCATGCCTATAAACCTGAAAACCGATGCTGCTATATATATGAACTTACATTCGGAATCTGTTTTTACCCATTTACTTCCATCATCTGCCTTTTCACCCTTTTCATTTCCACTTGCATGAGTCTTGGTGATATGGCTGCTCTCCAAGGATTTCTTGTTAGACAATTTCGGACTCGAACTTTGTGGATATATCTTCTTGTGAAGTATAGTCCTCAATATCTGAAACTCAAGATCAAACACATTTAATTGAGAATATTAACGTATTTAGCTAAACAATTACTGAACTTTTGCGTGTATTTTAATGTAATAAATACCTTCTCCATTTGTGACTCCAGGATTGGATCCCTTAAACTAATTGGGGCAGGTGATGAAAATCCACTTCTACAAACAAACAACTTCTTTAGAAGAAATGATAATGATTTTTTGCCAATCGCACCTTCAGAATTATCCAAGCAGATATCTTTCCCTCTTCTGTGAACTGAACTGGTGATAAACTGGAGATCATGATCATTTTTGTTGTTTGAATAATCGGAGCATGCACTGCAATTCCTGTCTTCTGCTTCCGTGCTTGAGTTGGATTTATCAAATGGAAGTTTAGTAGTAGCTTCCGCATCAGCTGATATCAGTCCAACATGTTCGTGAAATATTAAGTTCAACTCTTTTGAAAGTTTTCCTACTTCTTCAGGTGTCAGACCATGTAGATCTTGCCCGGAGGGGAAATTTTCTTGAAGATTTGCCTTCTCTGTTTCTTGTTTTATCTCGTTTCCAAACGTTCCAATTGCTAGCAGTCCATGAGGCCATTCGCTAAACTCTTCTTTGCAAGGCTGTTGGATATGATCTAGAAGAGGAATGAAGATATACAGGATTGTTACAACTTACAAATTAACAAACATATATGTGATTAAGCATGCCATTGATATAGCTTTTGATTAATAGAATTATTCTGGAGAGGGAGGGAGGAAGAGCTTAAAATTTTATGGTAATCAACCATGGAAGTAAAATGTCAAGAAAAGATTGAAGAACACTTACGATTAGCTGGGTTGGAGTTGGATTTCTTGCTGTTGAGCTTGTTTTGCACCCAGCTAAATATCTGGAATCAAACAAGACATAAATATACCTTAACAAGTTGAAGTACAAAAACTAACCAAGAAATCGACTCTCTTATTTCTTAGTTCTGATCAGTTCTCACCTTCATTATTTGGTGAAATAATTAATACAGAGTGCAGCTTCCGGAAACAGCACAAAACAGATGGTTTGCGGTGGTTGATATATTAAATCTGGGCTTAAAGAAATACTACGAGTGTTTATACATAAGAAATCCTATAAGCCAGTGAAAGCTTGGCTGCATCAAGAGTTAAATAGGGTGGAGTTTGAGAAATTCCACATATATCAAGCTGGTGTGGTTGTTGCTGCTGCCTAGTTGCTACATGGTTCAAGTTCCCAAACACAGACTTTGCCGCCTCTTTTCCCTTTCTCTCTCTTTTATTTGTCACCTTCTTTTCCAACTACCATGTCTGTTTCCCCCACTAATTTAATTCATTTGTCTCCCCATATAAATCACCATTACCTAAAATTAACTTACACTGAAGCATCTCTACCAGACCTGCCCGTACTGCCGTTTAATAGCATGAGTCTCATGACATTACTGATCCTCTCCTCGATCGATGTTTTATCCCTATGCTCCTTCTTAGCACAGTTTCTTCAATCAGAGATTTACGTACTCTCATGGCAGTTGCATTTTCACCCCGTATCAAATGAAGAGAATGTCGGTGACAGGAAACATTGTCTGTACGTATATATTTGGATTTTTTTTTCTGATAAAAAAATCAAGACCCAATCTTTTAGATTAAATAAGATGTATAGTATAATTGAAGTTCATATATTTAAGATAATTTTAATAAAATGTCACCAATTAAATTTGAATTTAAAACTTTTATACTTAAAGTGATCTTAATAATAGTCATCAATTAGATTTAAATTCAAAATTTTTATGTTGAAAAAGATAATTTTTTACTAATTGACTCAGTCATTTATTGATTATATTTGGCTTGTTTGTAACTAGAAAGAGTGCTTTTAATTACCCAATGTGCAAAACTCTTCAATGATACCTAAATTTGTGATTGAATGTTGAAAATGTTAATGATAGAAAGAAAACAAGTTTGGTCGAGGAAAAGTAGTGGGAGTGGATGGGCCATAGGGGGTGTACAGACCATGCTGGCGTGGTTATGTCTCTCACTAACCGAACCACCAAGACCTAGCTACTCCATCTCGCAACCACCATCGCTAAAGGCGGGCTTGGATGTCACTGCATGGTGTCCCATTTTGGTGGGATTATGCAAAATTTTTTGTACAATCTAAGCATAATAAATTGTTTGGATAACAAGCTGACGTTTGAAAAAATGTATAGAAATTTCATTGGAGGTAAAGGAGGGGTTCGGTTGGATTTTTTATTCCCATCCCACTCTCTTTTTCTAAAAATGCCCTTGATTTTGAATTTTTTCACTCTTTTTTATTTTTTAAATTTTATTTTGATAAAAAATATTAAGTAATCTTCTAGATTATTATCAAGTTGTGTAAATATATTATTATTAATTTTTTAAAAAATCATTTGATATATATTATTATTTTTAAAACTACAATTTGACATAAAAATAATTTAATAATTTTTAAGTATTTATTAATTTAATAAATATTAAATAATTTAAAATTTTTATTACACATAATTTTTAATATAATATTCTTAATAGTCATTTTTTTTCTTATTACAATTTATTCTATTTTTATATCAAAATACATATATACCACTAATTTTAATTTCATCGTTATAATAATTAATCTCACATTTATTCTTATATTTAATCTCATTAGAATTAATCTCATCGCTTATTTAAATATCCTTAGATTACATCCCACCCCTTACAAAATCCTCTAAAACTGTTCATAATTAGTCATAGCTCATCGCTACTTTGTTTTCCGCCTAAATTAGGAAGAGAAAATCAGTGAGGATGGTGTCACTTATTCACATATATTGATTCCCCCATGGCATGACATCTCTGAAAATTCCAGCTATTAGAGCCAGCCAAACTATATAATTAAACCAATCAATCGCTAGCTCGTTTATTCCATGAACGTTAAACTCTCAGAAGATAGAATCTGAAAACTTATTTTCTATAACTAAAATGGAAGACAAAACCTGGATGCTGATCCACAAGTTACGAGGGTCATGGAAAATATAGTTTCAAACGAGGAGATCGAGTCTGGTGTCTCTGGAAATGTGTTGCATAGGTTACATATGAAACGAATTATGGGGGAACAATGAAAAGCTGTTTGGGAAATTTTACAAGATCTTACGACAAGCTTGCCATGCAAATCCCTGAATTGTGGATCAAACGTGATTCACCTCAGGACGGAACAAATCAGCTCGAACCATGCACTGTGCCCAAACAATCCGAGGAAACAGTTCCATGACCAAAACAAGAGTAATTAAAAACCACTTCATCCTATTGTCTTGAGTTCTTGCAAAACCAAGAGACTAGCTAGTATATATTTAAGCCTTGAAGGACTAAGGTGGTAGCTGGATGCAATTCTTTTTTTCATGGAATTCACACTCAAAGGAACAGCCTTGACCGAATCAATCAGGTGAAGCAGAGACAGGCCCGTCAGCATGTGTGATAATCTGATTATTTGTTTTTTTAGCTAGCTAGCTTTGGTGAGGATTTGGATTCGTTTCATACGTGGGAAAACATCCCAGACACGTGAAGTTGTCCCTGTTGATCACGTGGGACGTCCATGCCCATCAGCCCCCATGCCATTGCCAACACCAAAAACAACTCAACAGAGCGGGGCAGCTTCGACCGTACCGACCAACACGTGTCTCTAAGGGCTTGGTTTTTAATCAATTATCAATGTGCTTAATTTATTAATATTTTCCTTTTTCTTCTTTTAACAACAAAAGCTACCTTCCATTAACATAGGATTTTTTAGGCTAACTTACCTAATTTTTTTATTGAGAATTATTTTTTTTTTGTATAAAACTAATTATTGGATCATATTCAATAATCATGTGACATGTTGATTGAATGGTGGATTTTTAATTTTAATAATTATATTCAATTTATTTTGGATAACTTTATATATTAAAAAATATATAATTTAGTCTTAATATCAAAATCGATTCTAAGTTACACGTATTATTTAATTAAACTTGTTCAGGGCAAATGAGGTTTCAAATAAATTTCATGCTAGTTTTTAAATTGAATAACTAATTTATGCAAACTTTAATAAATATAGGCTTTTGAAATTTTTAATAAATTTCTCTTACATATATATATATATATATATATCTTCTTAATGCATAATTAAGAGAGGGATAATTTAATTGAGGTTCATATATATCAACATGAGATCTCCTATATATTTTACCTATGGCTAGGCTTATTTATATATGCATTTCCAACGCAAATAACAGCAACAATTAAAGTATATATTAAAATATTTATTTTTAAAAAGTAATTTTCATTAAAATTAAAGTTTATATTTTAATGTCAATAATATTTTTTATTTTTAAATTATGCTTTTTAAAAAAATTATATCTCTAATTACTTTTATATATATGAACAACACTAGTAAGCCTCGATGAAGATCATATGCCTATTAAATCCCCAACCAAAATCTTGGTGTTGCAAGTCGGAAGGCAAGCACGAGGACTCATCTTGAAAAGGTACAATTGATCAGTCAAGAAACATCCCTCAAAATTTCAACTCAATTTACGATGTTGACTATCTATTTAAGCTTTTTTAGGAAATGGATTCCATACCATACTAGGAAAGCTTCGTGAGATTTACCCTAAATGGCAAGTAACCCACAATTCCTAAATTCATAATTTAACTCGTAACATGTGACCATGTGATTGAGAGTTGAAACATATATAGACAAGTCTTCCAATCAAATCAAGCCTTTATGTGAAAGTACAAGTACCCAAATTCGATAGGTTACAACTAGCCAAATTGAAGTGGCCCTTTCCATGATTTCTTAATAAAATTTGCTTTGTTTTGTTCAAAACTTAATTTTGGTCAAGAAAATTGTGTACAATAGCCTGCTAGTGCTAGTGCAAGGCCTTGGAATTAAACACACTTGTCCATGATGCTACAACAAACGGAAACCTTGGTTTGTCGTTGATTCTGATACAAAACTCAGGTTTTACATGGGATCCAACAAGCTAAATGACGAAAGGATTGTTAGAATTTTTGACTAATGGGTTATTACTAATTGGTAATTTTAATAGTTAATAAAATAGATTTATAAATTTAGTTTTAATACAAGATAAACATGATAATTCAAATAATTTAAGTGTGAGTTTTGTACATCTTACTGGATTAATATAATATGATGATTGTATAAACTTTTAACGCATAACTTTTGATGGGGAAATTTATAGGGTTTTAATATAAATTAATTATGATTATCTCTTTACTTTTTTTATGTAACGGTATTTACACATTAAAAGCTTCAAGTAAGAAAAGAGCAAAGAGAATGACTTAATCTCCTGAAGTGTTACTTCTGCTTATCAATAATAATTGCCCAAACAAGTACACAATAGAATTGAATTTGATGATCTAATATTCATATATGATTTTTTGGATTTAGATTTATGATTACAAGGATATCATTTATGTCAACATGAGATAATATATATATATATATATATATATAAGTATAATAATATTTACACCAAATCTAGGTGCAGTGTGCTTGGCGTTGTGGGAAGTGGATGAAAATTGTATGCTTTGAGGGCAAAGTGCAACACTATAGCAATGGAATCGAATGAAGATTGAACCACTTTTGAAATGATTATCTCCTTGGTCAATAGAGGAAAATAAAGCAGTTGACAGGGTGAAAATTGCAAGGACTCTGTAACTGTGGATGTTGGGTGGTTCAAACTAATGAAAATGAAGAGTGAACCACTTTCGAAATGGTCAATATCTCCTTGGCCAACAGAGGAAAATAAAGCAGTTGATAGGGTAAAAATTGCAAAGACTCTGCAACTGTGTATGTTGGGTGGTTCAAACTAATGAAAATAATATGGCAATTATCATTTTACACACTATAAACAACAATATACAACAGCTAATTCAAACTTTTGGAATGTGTTTATTGCCCATCTTGTCCAGGACAGCATAGTTCTACGCAACAATCAAGGCAGCCAAAGCATGCCAGAGCAGTGCACAGCTGGGCTAATGTAGTACCACATTGATTATTCATCTTTGAACAACATTGGATGCAGCACATGCAACAGCATTGATTACATATCTGACCACAGCAATTTGAAGTTGCCTTCATAAAAATTTCAGCAACTTCAGGCAATTTTTGTTCTTCGGATCCTGGGCGAATGTTTTCGGCAGTGGCAATCAGGTCACCAAAGCCAACTGAAAGGCTTTGAAGCAATACCTTTTTGGGCGCTTCAGAATCCTCCATTTTATGTGGATCGCCTTTCTTCGGTATCTGTATTCAGAGAAACCAACTTTCATGAGAGAAAAAAACTATGCCAAAACATTAACCAGAAATGAGGAAGGGGCCTTAGCAATGTTTCAAATGAAACATCCAATAATTTTTTTTTTAAGAAGAAAAGAAGAAAACCCAGCATGACTTAGTTGGACCTAGTTACTAGTTACTAACCTTCCGAGCTCCAGAAGAATCAGTGGCTTTGTCTATTTTATTTTGCTCAAGTAGGACCATGCGGGTATACTCACAGATATTGCAAGTCTGTATGCTTAATTTTAAAACCTGCCAATGACAAACAAAAGGCATCAGCAACAGTTTCTACTACTAGGAAATGTGTCGAGATCAGGACAAGCAAAAAAGATCCAACACATCTCAAATCATGCAGTCCAACTAAAAGTGGCCGCTGAGCAATTTGTAAAAGATAGATCCATCAAAACTTTTCAAATTGCAAGTAAGGATATGGCATAGCTATGATTCCCATTTCATAAATATGAGAACCTAAGGAGTAGCGGACCACGAAACTCTATACCGAAATTAATCCAAGGGCAAAGCCTATTCTGTTATATATAACTGGGCTACCTTAACTATTGCTAGCTTTCAAATCAAAGTAATTGTTGTGATCCAACCTTGTTGTCTCACCAATTTTGGGGAAAAAATGTCAGAATACTGTAAAACAAACCTTCTCCTCAAGCTGTTTTTTTTCTGAAAACCAAGCCTGAGCTGTGAGCAGATCAATCTGCTGTCTTGCTAACACCTGTTAGAGAAAAGGAAAATTCTGTAATACTCCAGGTGCCAATCATTGGGGTATATATGTAAAAACATTTAAATTTAAGAGGCCATGAAGCGTGATAAAAACTATAGAGAAGAACCCTAGGAAGAGATAGAATAGTAGCAATTAGCATGCAATGAGGATGTAAAGCATAAGGAAAAAAAAAAAAATTCAAATCCTAGAGATATGAACAACTGGGTGGAACAAGATATAACATTAAAAGGTCTTTAATGCACGATTTAACCCCCAAACAAAGCTAGAATTTACAAAGACATGGAAGGTTTTATATATATATATATATATATATATAATATTTTTGGCTGGTTGGAAGTTCAAATATTGAATGCAATTGAGTCGGCCTGATTTTGACAACAGGTAAGCTTTCTTCTTGATTAGAATATCCCAAAATTACACATACACCAACAAACCCCCCCACTCCCCTCACCCCCCGATTGTGGAAATGGAAAAAATGAATAGAGTATTTCCTGGACTTACAATACAGCATAAATGAATTAAAAGGAATCAGCCGAGTAGTAGGTGCTTACTCTGTCAAGAGGTATGTCCTTGGCCCTTTCTATCTTCAAGTCAATAATAAAGCTACTCAAATTTCCTAAAATACCTTTAGCTTTAAGAATGTCAGGAAAACTGCCTTGGTACCTCCCGCATATTGTCAATGGGCTTTCAAATGAAAGGTCAGGAATACATGAAGAGTACACCTATCAGGGATATTGTACAAGAAACCCAAGTCAAGTCAGTCAGTGCCAAGATGGGTCAAAAGAGAACCTAAGTTGCAGAGACTGGTGCAGGATGATTGCTGCCCAGGTGTAAAAAAAACATGAATAAATGCAAACAACGGACAAGATTGATAGAGCATACATAATAACACTCATGATATACATCATTGTAAGGTGTTTGTTTTGATATTCAGGCAACTTCAACTGATGCTATATATTACCATATAGGATGATATCATAATTTACCTAGAACATACATCATAAATCGTGATTCCTTAGAATGTCAGAAGAATATATAGACAAGTAGAAATAACAAAACAATTGCTAAATAAAACCTAGAAAGGTGGATATGAGGAAAATAAGATGTCATAAATGAATAAAACTTATACAGGCATTAAGACAAACTTACCTCTATTTGTTCATGATCATCAAATGCATCAATGGATATACTTGCAAGAACAGTAGATAAACCTTTGCTAAATAATTTTTGCATCTGAACCTCAATTGAATCTGACAAGAAACAGGAAGAAAATTATTAGTAAGAATAATGATATAGGACACAAACTTTCACATATCCTTACAATATAAGAATAGTTTTTTACTTTTTTACATAGATTACTTGATGAGAAACTTAGGGTTCAGAATTATGGTCAAGGTGGAATTTGGGAAATAGAAATAGGTTAAAGTACTTGTAGGGAGGCTGTCTAAGCAAGAAGAACCTGAAGAAGGCCCCCATGGTTTCTAAGCAACCATATCTGGATAAGTAGACACTCATAACCTAAAAAGAGCATAAAGCTTCTGAAAACCCTGTTACTCTGAAAGTAAGAGAACTACGAGTCTATATTAACTCAACTTAAAAGAGCAAGAAAGATAAACTGACAATTCAGCATCATTAAACCACTAACAGCATATTTACACAAAACTAAGACTTGACTTATCCCAACACACAGCCATTCAAGGTCCCATATATGAATTCCAAATTCTAACTTAGGTGTTGGAACCAGCTTTGTACACATTTCCCTCCTGCTGTGGGTATATTTTCCATCATTAGCAGAAAATAAACTATTCAAAGAAAAAGAACAAAAACGATGACATCCTGCTATCATAGACAACAATGCTTAATAATAAGATGGATCTGAAGATCATGGAAAGGACCCACAAAAATTAGCCCCCAAAGAAAAGAAAGAGAATTCAAAAGAATTCTAGTGATCTACTAAAAGTTTCATCGTATAACACAATTCTTTGGCTTGAGGTTACATATAAAGTCAAAGAAACATACAGACCTAGATCACAAGCAGCACCAAATTCACCCCGGCCAATCATAGCAAGCATGCGCAGGAAATAATGATTACAGAATGAACCTGCAACATTTCCAGCAACAAGTTAACTAGAAGTTATGGTGTAAAGAACTTATATTATCTGATTTCAGCATTTCTGATTTTCACAATCCTAAGTTCCTAACCAAACATGTTGGCATTCTTCACCAATGATGAGAAATAATTTCATTGAATTTAAAGGCAATAAATACTATGCTAATAACTGGAAATATAGGAGGCCTAAACACCTGAAAAGATTACCTATGCCAAAAGTATGTATGCGTGGACATAATGATCCTCCATTTGTCAGACGCTTTTTCATCCAGTCACAAATGTTTTTCTCATCTTCAACAGCCCCATCAGTAACAAGAAAAATAATAGGAATTGAACCACGAGTATTCGATAGCATCTCAGCTGCCTGACAGAAATAAGAAAAAGTTAATAATGTGCAATAGGTCATAAGAAAATTTAGAAGACTATCTTAAACCATCTTGTCAGGAACAAAAACAAAAGTGAAAGCATGCTGCTAACTATATTCTAATCTCTTGAACTAATGCACAAACCATGAGAAGTTCCAGAATAGAAGTTTAACCAAAAGCAAAGGAAATGAGAACACACCTTTTCTAGTGGAATAAACATATTTGTACCGCCCCCCACACTATATTTCATGCTAATCCATTCAGTGGCCCTTTCAGTTGCTTCCTCGGAAGCCAACTCCATGGATGTTGAAAATAGAAAAGTCTCATTACTAAAAGCAATAATGTTAAATGAATCTTCTGGACTGAGCTTAGAAAGGGCAGTAGATATAGCATTCTTGGTACTCTCGAGTGGCCTCCCTTGCATGCTGTCACTTATATCAACAACAAATATGACCTCCTTTCTGAACACCTATCAAATTCAGTAAGATAAGGATAGATACCAAAAGGAAGAATCAAATCAGAAGAACGCTGCAGGTTGAACAAATGCTAAACCAACCTTCCTACTCTGCTGACTTCCAGGGAAAAGATAAATACAAAACATATCTCTTTGGTCATAATCATATAAAGATGGAGACTGCAAAAGGACGCCTCCAAATATGTTTCCAGAAGAAATCTATAAAAAGAGGATACAATATGCAATTATAAGTATCCTGATTGTAGCAAATTAGGTATTTTTAGTTTAAATAGAATTTTAGGCATATTCATGGAACAGTATTTTTCATCATTTATCCAAAAAAAAAAAAAAGAAAAGGTAATTTTGCAAGTTAAGTCTGATTCTTACACAATATGAGAAATTGAAGTCAGTATTGGACCATGTGAGAATTTCTGCTTCATATAAGAAACTGAACCCCCCTGCACGGCGTCTTATTTCCTGAAAATTTTGAGGGTGAAAAGAACAATGAATAGGATAAAACAAGGAAATAAATAACATCATTCATTAAGTCCAAAAAAAAGAAAATTCAAAGCACAAGCATAATGATCCTTAATCAGAATATGTACCTTCAAAGGATGACTAGTTGCCTTGCACAAAATTCCAGTTGCAATAACAGGGTTCACATTCAACTGTATCTTTTCTTTTTTTGAAATTTTCTTTATAGCAGGAGTAACATATTCAGGAAAACTAAAGGGCACAGTCAAGAAAAACTGGCCCTCATTATATGACAATTTCTGAGACCAATGAAGCTTAATTGAAATATTAGTACCCCCATCGATCTGGAAATATAAAACAAAAGCATTCATTAGAAACAATAGATTTAAGGTACATCAAGTTAGATCATTATAACTTTGAAACATTGGCATGCCTGTGGTATTGTTAATGTAAATATATGAGTCTTCAAAAACCCTCCATCTTCTGGTCTCGCTATCTTTTCAATACCCTTACTTTCTTCCACTCCATTCAGTTCAGTAGAATATGATTTTGTAGGAAGATTAACCTCAACACCTAGAATTGAACCCTGTTAGCCAAATAATCTATTATTGTTTGAGACCATTAATAAGCACAATTCAAACACAAAATCAAGTCAACCAAACAATTAATAATTGATATTTTTCTCTTTTAGAAAGAGCACATTCCATTTTAATGCCAATATGCCATCAAGACTTGGGACAATTGGAAAGAGTAAAAGACAACAAAATCATCTTTTCTTCAAAAATCTTAGTTAAAGATGTAGAGACCCACACCCACGATGTATTATCCAATTTGATCAAAAGATCTCATGGTTTTATTGTTTTATAGATTTTAGGTAAAGATCTCTACATATATATCATTTCATATCCACGCATTCTTCCATAGTAGGATAGGAATCATCACAAAAGTTTACTGTTTCATTGATGCAGTTTGATCGGAACTAAATTCCCCTCTAATATTCTTAGTTTTGAGTCTCCGTACAGGTCAAAGTCAAAACAAAAATATACCCCATGATTTTACATTTATCAAATGATAAGAAAAAACAAAAAAGTTGAGAATCAAATAGCAAATAAAAGTTCTTGAGCTGAAAAAGAGGAATTTAAGCTAAAATAAAGAGTAAAAAAAGTTCAAAATTTATCCTTTTTCCATTAATGAGTAAATATTGGGGTACTAACCTGGTCGCCCATAGGGACAGCAATGCGACAATCACAGGAACGGCTAGCCATAACACAATGGACTCTCCATTTGCCAGAAACTTGAATAAAAGCGGTATCGGCGTAACAATCCACGTCGAGATCGACCCCGCTCATCTGAAGAGGAATCAAAGCGGGTGGATCGCACCTGCCATGCACGTGAGGCTGGTAGCTCGGAATATCCGGGTTGTCGACAATCCTCGGGTCGAATATAACCGCATATACCATTGGCGCCGATGGCAAGTACAAATGCGGTGACTTCTCCATTGGCGGTAGCGGCTTTGGCGGCGCCACCAATCCTCTGTCTTTCCCTAAGTATATTCGTTTCGCTAGCTTTAACCCGTCCTCCACCGCCCTTGCAAAATCCTCCGCCATTGACAACACAGTTTTTTCAAACAAAAAAAAATCCTTTCTCTATCTTTCTTTTCTTCTTTATGTGAGAAAAAGAAAGAGATTATTCAGAGAATAAGAAAAGGAGAAACTAAGTTTTAGGGTTGGGTTTACTTCGATGATCGGATTCTTGCAATTGGCGTCAACACCGGATTCGTGTCGGTTTACTGTTTTCGGGTTTTTTTAATAATTATACTATTAATTAATTAATTATTTATTTTTGTTTAAATTTTTGGGAGAAAGGGACGTCTTTTTTTTTTTTTTTTTCTGAATAATAGCTTTATATTGCATTTTGGAACTGAGGAGACGGGAGATTGACCGAGATCGACGTGGAAGAATGTGATTGGTTGGGAAGTAAGGTTGCTGACGTGGAGGAATGGTCCCATGAAGCATGGGATGGCAAATTTCAAACGGTTAGTTATTAGTTGTTACCAACGGCTATCTAGATCTGCTCGCTGGATATGTCAAGGTGGGTCGGTGGAGTGGGCGCTGACTCCTTCCACGTGGCATTCAGATAGCTTATAATCGGAAAATTGGCAGATAGAAACTGAATGGCTAATCTATTAAGTCAAAACAAAGATAGATCCAACCAACAAAAAAAAAAAAAACTGTATTAAAGTTGTTATGGTCACGGCCGTGCCTGTGCGGTGCCACCGACGTTGTTATGGTCACGAGGGCTGGTCCAAACTGCCATTTTTTTATCTCGAATTCACCTTTAATAAAAGCTCAGGTCATCCATGAAAGTATAAAAAAAAATTATGGTCAACTAAGCTTTAAAAAAACTAGAGACTAAATCTATAAATACACTAACCGCAAAATTTTACTTTGCTTCTATAGCACAAGAATAAGCCGATTGTTGACATGGTTACGCCGCAGAAGTCTTCTCCATGGGATATCCCGTTAAAGGATGCCATCAAAAGTCCGAAGTGGCAAGACTTTCGTGTCTCAGAGCATGCTGCAAGAATTCGTCACTCAGCAAACAACAATGTGAGACTAAATTTGTGCAAAGAGGATTTCATTCCGTGTTCCAGGAACAACAGGCAAACACCAATTCAAGCAGTCCTGGACTCCTGGTGAGGCTGTAATACTGAACCGGGATATGTGACTCTCTTCTCTCACATGAGACAAAGCCCTTATGTCCAGAAGTTTAACCCGTCCCCAGGCATGGCAGCACTATAATCAGTAGCTCCCTTCTGTGTTCCAGTCCCCATTTACAAAGTGCCTAGGGGAGATGCTCCTATAAAAGGCTTTCTGATAAGGATGCTTTGGGAGATGAGAGTGTACCCATTTAACAGTGCTGTGGATTGTGTAGTTCTTAGCTGTCGGTGTTCGGCGTAGCCCCAACATACATGTGTTTAGACCCATGGGGTGAATCATAAAATTCACGAAAGGATAAGCTGAACAAGACCGTAAGAACATAAATGTTTGACTTTAAAGCACCGGAACCAATCTAAACTCTAACCCCTTTGTTAGTGGATAGCAAGAATCCCATACCTAAACCATTCAATCACAAGCTTTCGAAAACCATATGATCAAACTTACAGAAAACAGAGATTCCCACGCCATTTTTGCTTGGAAGTTCAACATAGCTAAGCCAAACATGCTTGATTCAATGGCTTACTTAGAAGCCAACAGATCCTGTTCTAACTCACAACCGACATTACTAAACAATGGCAGCACATTCCGAACAATCTCAGGAATTTTATTTAACCTATTATCAGCAATTAAATTATTATAACGTAATTATCCATCAAATTTCCTCTTTTCTAATCATTTTTGTAAATTTTAAAAGCAATTTGTCTTGTGAACTAAAAGTGAAGTTGACAATCTTCATGCACATTAAATCAAATCAATGACAATGAAAGAAAAAAAATTTTAAAAATGAAAATTAAAAAAAAAAAAAAGAAAATAAATTTGTCATTGAAGTCAGAGTCAGCTAAATAGTAAAACGAGAAAACAAAATGAAGCATGATACAAAATTGCAATCTACGATTTTGAACGCTCGATTCTGATCCAAACGCAACATCCAACGGCTCTGATTATTGAAAAAATTTTATGGAAAATTGAATTTAAAAAATATTTAATTAAGGTAACAACTGAGGAGAGAAGTACCTGAGGCGCATCAATATCTGGACGAAATAAGAAACTCAGCGCGAAGAATTGTTTTTATTAGTTTTTAATTAATGTGAAGAAGAAGAAAAAACGAAATTGAAAAAAAAAAAAAAAAGTGGTGGTGAAGAGAACGTCTGTCGGCTGGAACCGGATTGACCAGAAGGGAGCTTTGCGATTATTGTGGAAATTTAGATAATAAAAAACCAACATTGTTAAATTTGTAATTAACTATACAATTTATGAGAATTAATTAAAATATAATAAATTATATTATTATATTTTGTAATGTATAATATAATATTTGACATGTAATCTCAGTTAAAATGATAAATATATATAAAAAAATATATTAATAAATGATTAATTTAATTAATTAAAATTTATCTACTTTAACAATAAGATTTTAAGTCATTCAAATTTTACCGAAAAAAATTTTTTGAAATAATTTTGGATCCACAACTTATAATCATTTATTATAAATTATAGAATATAATATATTTTATTTTAATATAAAAAAACTAAATAATTTGTTTACTTTGAATTTTTTTAGAAAATAATAATAAATCAAATGTATTTTGGTTATATAAAGAAATGGGCTCCGTTTTATTGGGCTTTCACAAATTCCCATAAGACCATTGAGTAGATGGTTAAGAAGGCAAACCAAATTATGCAATTCGATCATTTGAGTAATCTTATATTTTAGAGTAAAGATTTGATTTTTTTTTTCTTTTCTAAATAATAAAATAAATAAAGTGTAGTTATAAAAATATAGTTTTCAATCTTAAAGGTGTTATTTTATTTTTATAATATGATTAAAATTATTTTTAGATTTACTTTGATTTAATCTTTTTTTTCATATTATCTTAAGAACGTATTTTTTACATTAAATTAATGTATTTAAAATTTTATTTTCGAAATACTTTCAACAATGATTAAATCTGGATTGAAAAAAAAAGGGATCCTTTTGTTTTACCGATTGAATTAATTTTTCTTGTGAGTAAAGGTATTATTTTAAAATTATTATAGAACATTTTTGAAATTTCTAACAATTGGATTCTGTGTTTCTCAATCTAACACAACAATTAAGGTTTATTCGAAAACCTAATTCCTGTTATATGACTCAAAAGTCAAATGCCAAACTTCTACATGTATTAAGAAAAAAAAATTATATGGGGTAAGGTTTTGTTTTGTTTGATTAAAAATCTTGGTAAGTTAAAGAGCATTTTAAATTTTAAATATTCTTTTAAAAATAAAAATATAACATGCTTATCATTTTTCAAAAGTTTGACAAGAAATTTAATTGGAATAACTCAGCTTAGAAGTACATTAAGCTATCGTATCTTCAGTAAGTCTCAAGATATTAAAAAAAGTTTCAACGTGTAAATTAAAGTTGACGAAATTAAAAAAAAAAACGTAATAATTTAAGCTTAATTCATTTAATTCATGTATAACATTTAATTTGCTGGCGGCTCGCGCTATCCCTCAACGCTCTTTGCGTCGCTAGCGTGGCGCAGCCACAAGGAACGAAAACACAGTAGCAGCAGAAAGCTCAAAAAGCAACCCTATCCCATTCATTCCATAAACCTCCGAATTCCTTAATATCTCGCTTTCTGAAAAATCCAATCGATGGCGCCTGATTCTAAGTCGAGTGACGGGCTCGTAGTTGACAACACTCTCCAGTCTATCTGCTATAAACGTGGCTCTCTTCAGCTGCTCGACCAGGTCTTGTTTTCATTCACTTTTGAGTAAAGCTAACGTTCCTTGAAGTTTGATTGTTTCAGCACTTTATTGTTAGGATTTCGTTACTGGGTTTTTAATTTTTTGTTTACTGTGATCTGTTGTTGAACAGAGGAAACTTCCTCTGGAAACTGAGTACTTGTATATTCAAGATGCAACAGATGGATGGTAATGAGTAGTTGTTCCTGTGAAATGTGTCTTCCTTGGTTGAATTGCATTGAAATTGTGCAAGTCAACTTGAATATCTTATTTGATGATTCCAGGAACGCAATCCGGGATATGGTGGTTCGAGGGGCGCCTGCTATTGCCATTGCGGCAGCCCTTTCCCTGGCGGTAGAAGTTGCCAACTTAAAGGACTTTAATGGGACATCTGAGGATGCTGCTTCTTTCCTTGAAATCAAATTGGAATATCTTGTCTCAAGGTTTTTACTTTTTCATTCCTCCCCCCTTTAATGGTTATGGACTTATGGTCACGGCAGCTGTTATTATAGGGGATTTTAAGCAATCTGCTGTATGTAAATTAAATTGCAAAAATCTGCATTTTTTCCCTGGTGTTTTTGACACTGAAAGTAGTTGTTTCCTTATGTTGTCGAGCTGATAACATGATTGTCTTGTATGTCCTTTGCAGTCGACCAACGGCAGTGAATCTTTCCGATGCTGCTACAAAACTAAAAGAAATTGTATCAAAGGCTGCTTCTACTGCCACAGACCCTGGGAGTGTTTTCCAGGTGGGTATTCATAGTTATGCTTCAAGTTATTTGTCATTGACGTGTATTATTTTGGCTCCTTGGAGTTTGCTGACATAAATCATATATGAACTCCTAAATCATAATAGCCTTGTTTCTGATTTGGTATGTTTTTGTCTTAGCTCATCCTTTCTGGATATTTAATTTTAAGCATATCTTGTTTGTCCTTGCTATATATTTATTTATTTTTCAATCCTTATAGGCTTATATAGAAGCTGCTGAATTTATGCTTGATGATGATGTTGCTTCAAACAAAGCAATTGGGTCTTATGGAGCAATTTATCTCCAGCACCAACAGAAAAATTCAAAGAGATTTTCTGTTTTGACCCACTGCAACACTGGCAGGTTTGTAAGTCTTTTCCATGCTGTTCTTTTTTGTTGTAGTAACGGTAATGTTGGCACAAAGGCATTAGAGTTCATAGAGGAACTGAATTGGCATATGATAGTGTCCTAATAGTGATTTAATCTGTCTTGCAGTCTTGCAACAGCTGGATATGGTACTGCCCTTGGTGTAATCCGCGCACTTCATGCTGAAGGAGTGTTGGAAAGGGCATATTGTACAGAAACACGGCCCTTCAATCAGGTAACATTTCTTTTAAAGTTGTTTGTGTGTTTATAATAACATTGTCGACATTTGCGG